CGCTTTGAAGGACCATATGTTATAGAAAAAATAACTCACGCTGTTGTAGTGTTAAAGGCAAGAAATGGTGAAACCTGTTCCGCAAATATTGATCAAATTAAACCCTACTTCGATCGTAATAAAATGAAAATCTTTTCAGATCTTTTGCAGGATCCGGTACGGCAGACACCGCAGGTACAAGTTCCAGAGGTGGGAAAACGACAAGTACAAGGGCAAGCCAATGAGAGACAGAAGCAAGTGAAAAGAAAATTGCCCCGCGGAAAAATTGAAGGTAAAAGAAAAAGAAGCCGTTCCACCGTCCAGAAAACAGAGTGCACGAACACCCCCAGAATGAAGAAGGGAGAAGGACGACGTATGTGGAACCGGAGAAAGGACGGCAACTATAACCCGGCTGTGAAAACGGAAGATTGACTCATCCGACAGAACTCTCCGCAGCAAAAGTCGCCGAACTGCGGAAGGGCCATCAGCGGCGGAGGAAAAAGTACAAGAAAAATTTGAACGGCCAACAACGAGGTCCAAGCAGGATCACGACAGAAGTTTCCCGGTTCCACCAAGACCAGCTGCCTTCAAACGGCCAAGACCACAAGCAGAGGACAAAAGGAAGATGTTCAAGGGTGGCCGTACTGGTGAAAAACGGAAGCTTCCAGAGGAAAGCACTGAAGGGCGAGCCCGTACAAGAAGGAGGATCAACCAAGCTACGGTCTCAGCATACCTTTAAAGACTGGGCCCAGAAAAGGATGTCTGAATATTACAAAGATAAGTAAAATTTTATGTTACTTTACAAACTTAAGTTAATCTTTCATTCTTACTGCAAGTGGCAGATTTCAAGAAGTTTTACCTCATGCGAGGTCTACCTTTATCGCCAAAAGGGCGAGAAATGAGTTGTGACCGATTTTCTTATTATGTTTTTCAATTACTCGCGCGTAAAACTAAAGTTGATGTATAATAGCGTTGTGTAAGACTTAAATATTGTAAAAAGTTATTGTATAAATTTTATTTAAAACTTTCTAGCAAGAAAGAAGTTTTAGTCTGAAAGACTTTTTGAAATGTAGTATTATTTCAATGTAGAAAGAATTGGCACTTGCTTTGAAAAGAATAGAAGTTAACAATGTACTACTAATGTATGTTTTCAAATGTGTAAAATTAACGGCATGTTGATATGTTCTTATATACATGTGAACTGTTATTTTAAATGTTAAGAAATACCGTGATATGGTAAAAGTGAAAGTAATGTTAAAAATTTGTTATTCGTGTGACTGTAAAGATTAAATCATGACGAATATATGTTAAAGGTTGAATGATGTAGTTAGGCTCTCTGACGCTACACTTTAGAGTTAGCCACTTTTAGAATAGTACCTCAGGGTTTAGAGTTGAAATTAGGGTGTGTTAAGAGGTCTCGTATGTTGAATTTTAACACGTTAGTGTTTTGATTGTAGGAGGAAGTGTGGCACACGTAGACAGAAACACATTCGTGTTTGGTGTTCTTTTACAACACATGTCAGAGAGCACGGGGAGAGATAATTAAAATAGTCATGAATGAAATAAGAATGTTAAGAGAAGTATATTCTATATGTTATTGCAATGTCATTCTGTAACATTTCATTAAACTAGTTTTCCTTCCAGATCTCTGGAAGGAACCAGAATTGAATAAAGCTCCTGTTTTAGATGCAGTACAGATGAAAAAAAAAAAGATTGTTGTATATCCCGGGAGCTGCTATTGTAACAAATTTCTTTCTTTTAAATTTTCTAGTTTCTAGCTAAGTTATGATTGTAAAAGGTTGGCCTCGCGTTAGATTTTTAGAGCTAAAAGTTTTCAACAAGGTCGTTTTAGACCTCAGTTTCAAACTAATTAACTCTGGCGGGAAGTATGTAAGGATCTTAAGTTTTACTAACGTTTATTTTATTTTAAATCTTTACTATCACTTCTTATTTTCTACTTCCGGCCAGAATTATAAGCGTGAAGGATTTATGCAAAGTTTGTCTGGCGAACGCCAAGTATTTAAGTGTGGCCTTTTTGCCAAGAGAGAGAGAGGAAGCAGTGAGTTCGAAGCAGGCCGCTTACCTTAGAAGTTACGCAGTTGCTATTTGCCTTCCAGGCCAGAGGTTTTAATCCTCTTGATAAATTAAACGTATTGTAGTGTTCACAGTCTCTGTGCTACATACGCTTCCTGTTATTATAAGGCCAATCTTATTCTAAAGTTAAATTAGAGTTTAGTTTTATTTTTATACCTTTTACGTTAGACCCCGAGTGGAGGGTCATTGTATTCCGAAGTACGGAAGTCATTGTATATAAAGAAAAATAAAGGGTCTTGTATACCCTTCGTCTGTATCCTGTCTACTTACTACAATTAGTGAACATAGCTTTAGTAAGCTCTCTGTTCCTAGTCAGGTCATTGTATGTTTCCGAAGAAGGTTAGAAGAAACATTGAACCTGATAAACTTACTAAATAGGCAAAACTGTAAATGACAATGCAAATAATTTTAAACGTTAGTAAGAATTTGTAGAATTAATAATTTTTCGAAGCCAGGAAACTGAAGAAATCCGCATTGCCGTCGTCGGGATTCGAAATCCAGACCTCCCGAACATGCATCAAGCGTTATTCGAGTCACATCACGAAAGCATATGGAAAGGAAAGAGAAGATACCTTATTCACTGCCCCTTTTAAAGGGTGACTGGGGATTAGGGCACGATCCTGGTGGAGGCGAACTATCGTCCACCATCTTTCAGTTCGGACGCCACTGTAGAATCTTCATGAATTTTTAGAAATCACAAAACTGAAGAAATCTACATTGTCCTCCCGGGATTCGAACAAAAGACATCCCGAATTTGCCTCGAATGTGCTTCCAATTACATCATGAAGGCATATGGAAAGGACATAAAATCCTTATAAGTTTAAATGCTATTGTTTTATACAGTAAATCGGAAAGCAAAATTAAATATTGTTAATAAAAAGTTTTTAAATTGCAATAAAACCCCTTTCCGAGGCAATTGGAGAGGTAATCATTCAGATAAAAAAAAAAAAAAAAAAAAAGCTTTGCGAACAGAGTATAAATTTTAAATCATGCCAGTTTTGCTTTTGATAAAGTTTCTTTGAAATTCCAAGAATAAGTGCACGGGTAATACTGGCAAATTCCTTTTTTACTGGGTAAGATTTGTTTCCTTCAATTAAAGTAAATCTTAAATGATTATTTTTTTCAATTAAACAAATAATTCATACATAACTATTATTTAAACTATTTTTTCAAATAAAAAAATAATTCATACAAGATAATCCATAAAAGAATTGGAATAAACAAACTCTATACATCAAAATTTACGCAAAGTGTGAAATTTTGTCAAATTTTTTACATGCATTTTTATGAAGCATTTTTATAAATGGTCTGTTGTCCTTCTTTGTTATATCCGTATAACTCCCATCATCCGCCGCAAAATCATGGTAGCTTTTCATCAACAGAAGATTCATAGGAGAGGGAATTCCTTGGGTGGTTCCGAAGCATCAACTTCTTGAATTTTGACTTCTACTTGTCATGGTGCTCTTAGGCCGCTGGCTGTAAATAGAAAGATAAGAGGTACTACACTACTTAGATTAATATCTTAGATCTTAGATACTTAGATTAATATCTAAGTAAAACTAACATGCGGGTTTTATCCCCGAAATGAAACATTCATAGGAGACGCATCAAGACGTTACTTTAAATAGCTCTGGTCATATGTCTTCAGAGCCCACCCGTACTTAAGTGCTACTGAGCTTTCATGAGGATCTGAACCTATCCTTATGAAGGAACTAGCTGCATGGAGGTTTTTATCGTTAAGGTTTTTATCGGTTTCCCTACATGTAACCTGAATACCAACCATTGTCCCCCACCGAGGTATCCATCGCTCTGAGCTTAGCTTTGTTGTGTTCTGCCTTAATCAAAGCTCAAAACAAGGCCTCAGCATGGCTAATTTTACGTTATCTGTGCCATCATCAGTCACCCTAGCCATCATGGAAATTTCATTATTCTCCTGATCTACCTTACGAATGATATCTTCATAACTGAAAATTTGAAAACTTGATTCCCTGTTTTCTATATATTCTTATACCGAAAAGTCATCCTTTTAGCCTTTGAAACAACTCCATGAATTCATTTTCAGTTCGAGTTCCTTTCATCTAACATAGGGCTTCTTAAATCTTTTTTCAGTGGCGACCCCTTTTTACCGCTGAGACCCCTGAACCCCATAATATTTATGAAAATTTTGTGGGACCCCCATAAGCATTGCGCAAATCCGACACACGCGTGAGTGAAACCTTCAATTTTTTTCACTTGTACTGTAATATACTGCTCCAGTTTTAAGTCATTAACTTTAATTTCTAATTTTAAGACATCGAACAATGTGAAAATTTTAAATAAGTAACAGACGAAATGACAGCGTCACGAACAAAGCAAGTAAAATGAATGTTTATATTATAAAAAGAATGCATCGAAATGTTTTTGTTTTTTTCTTTGCCTGTATAGTCTTAGTTTTATCTATTTTCAGATACGTTGTGTAAAAATATTTAGTAATTGTAAAATTACTATAATAAAGTTAAAGAAATATCAAAACTGCTAAAAGTTTTGGCGACCCCCTACTGCAGGTCTCACGACCCCCATGGGTGTCGCGACGCACAGTTTAGGGAACGCTGATCTAACATAAATAAACCATATTTTTGGCCGTAATGAACATAGAGAGGCTGTTAAATGACTTATCACTGATAAGAAAATTCATGAACGTTATTGATGTCTATTGTACGCTTTCTAGTTTTATTATATTTTACCAATGGTTTCTCTAAATTGATTGCCGGGTCGCTTAGCAGGGACCTTGCGTGATAGAGGTTCAGAGTTTAAGTTAAAAGGTGTCGATGCCATTCTATTGCAAGTGGAGTCGCTGTAGGTTTAAACAACTTAAACTAATCTTTCAGTCATTTTTGGATTAGAACATTTTATTATAGAGGTTAATCCCGTTTCTTTTCTTTTCATAGATAGGTGGCTGGAATATCAGTGGCGACTTCAACATCAGTCAGTGGAACTTCCAAAGGACGCTGGAGATCCTGCACAACCAATACAACCGAGGTGGTCTGTTCTCATGGGGAGTCGGAGAGGACGAGAGGAATTCGTCCAGGAATATCCTCCAGCTGGACCAGGGTGGTCTCGGCTTGCCCACCAGAGACTTCTACCTCAACAAGAGCAAAGACGATGAGGTTTGTTTCCAGGAACCCAGACTTTAATGCTATGAATCTCGAAGATCCAGATTCTTGGACTAATAAATGGTTCAAACTAATATGAATGCAATAATGGATTGCATCCGAGTTAGTCGCATTAACTTGGATTTTTGATCAAACGTACTTGGTTAATTCATGTAAAATATTATTCCTGGATATTTTACAGGATTTTACTAATTAATCTAAATGGGTTTTATGATATGTTTTTTTTGGGGGGGGAGGGGGAACATCAATAAATTAAATCGAAGAAAGTAAAATTTGTTCCTCATATCAGGCAACGTCCAGTTTCTCGGAAACGAGATCCTTTGAAGAGATTACTTGAAGAGATACGCTGATACTTGATCTTTCCAACTGATAATTTATTATAAAGTAAGGTCTATAGTATATAAGGTTGTATTCGAGGTTTTTGAATGTTAATTAAATTTTTCTGAAATATATATGTTTGTTTTGAAATGTAACCTTCATAAAGTTTAAAAAATTATATTTTACATGATTCAGAAATAGTTTAATGATAATTTAATCAGGAAAAGTATTCATACTTGCAGTATCTTCGCAAAGTTGGTGTTATCACCGATAAATGCGGAGGAAATTTAGGGAGCATTAATGGTAGCAGGAGGACAAGCAAGTGAGCAATAAGATCATGTTTGGAAAATTAAGTTGCCTAGAAGTTAACTAGATATTATAGTAGTCCTATATACAAAATTACAAAATTTCAACGTTTTACGTCTAGTCGTTTATCAGTTATGCGAGATACTTACATACATACATACGTACATGCAGACGTCGCAAACAATCCCTTCTGAATGCATTTTAAAGCCATTTAACAATCCATTTTGGAAAATGAATCTGTATGTACAGATAACACACAAAGAAAATCGTTCAGATGGATTCGAGCGACCAAAATGGATATTTCTGTTGAAATATGATACCCAAATTTTTTTCGCGATTACTGTACTTCCTCTGCTTCATACAAGGAAGTAAAAATCATCATGAAATTCAAAAATCCACTGAATCTAAACTTTTGTCTGTGAATTGATCTTTAAATCGCTAGTCTGTTGATAAGCCGCCAAACCTAAAGGTATATAACAAAATAATTTATAGCTCAAACTACAATTCAAAATCCATTCCAGTCAAAGTTAGTGATTTTGCTTAATTTTAAATTCCAAATAAAAAATTTCATATTACCCAAAGGGAAAACCTGTTTTTGATGTAACAAGGTAAACGTGTTCAAACGGTAACCCGAATATCGACCAAGAGTATTTACTTTAAATATGGCAACAAATCGCCAAATTGATACAATTTTTTCGCCTTTACAAACAATTGCAAAATTCAAAAAGGTAAGAATTTTAAATTTATCGTTATAAAATTTGACCAGTTTTCTGAGAAAGTACGAAAAATCGTCAGATGTTCACCATCAAGAGTAGGGAGCTGAGCAAATCAAACCTTGAAAAGGAACAGGGGGACTATGAAGTTCTTCTTTATGCGATCTTAAACCAACAAATCAGTCAAACTACCGTAGATGCTACCATTGATGGTAGAATGGGCTTCTCTTGGATATCGGTAAATTTTTTCTAAGAAAATGCGAGGTACCGGCACGTTGACCAACGTCTAATTTCTGTGATTCAAGAATCAGTGAGAAAACATAGATTTTAAGACATCAGTTCTTTATTTATTTGATATGATCTTAAGAGACTTTCCTGGATGCCACATGTCAGGAATCTTAAGACTCGAATTAGCATCCTAAGCAACAACATGAGACAGATGACTTCACATAAATGCGGTATCTCATCTGAGCTACTAAACATTTGGCATTACAGAAAGATTATTCTGTAATGCCAAATGTTTAGTAGGCAATGTTAGCGGCAATTTGGGGTGCTGAACTTACAGCTCACATGAGAAGATCCGTGTTCTCTATTCAGAGACACAGCAGCTGCTTCAAGTATGCAGGGCCTACCGTACCACGTCAACACCAGCCCTACAACAACTGGCAGGAATTCCTTCCCTAGATTTGATAGTTTCTCAACTATCGTAAGGGTTACCAGGCTGGGTCAAACTTCAACACTCTGGGCTCATAGTTATCACCACTTGAATTATGAGTAGCAAAACATCTGCAACAATAACTTTCATCCAGCTGGCTTTTAATCTCTCCAACGGTATCATCGTAAACGACCAACCAGTTCAAAGCAACAGACTTAACCTTTTCATAGATGACTCCAAAACGGAGCACGGCAGCGCCTTCTGTAGACTGGAAAATGGTGTTGTAACATTCGAGTAAAAAAGGAAACTAGGCCTGAACAATTCAGTATACCAAGCAGAGCTTCTAGCTATCAGTGTTGCAATTAGGTATGCGAACATATGTCAACAGCAGAAATTCTCCGTACTGAGCGATTCGGCATCAGGTATGTCGGCTATCGCAGGTCAAAAAACCCGGAGTCCTTTGGTATACCGGATTCAGAAACAGCTTCTGGCAATGCATATCTCACAAAGACCCACTTTAAAATGGGTTCCCGCTCATACAAGGATTCAAGGCAATGAAGCCACTGACCTACTGGCCAAGCAGACAGCCAACAACAATATTAGAAAGACTAACTAACTTTCCTTGGTCTCACATTAAGCGAACAACTTTGACAACTCTGCTACAAAATTGGCAAAGTAGATGGACAGAGGCAGAGGTGGGACGAAGGACATATCGCTTACAGCTAAAAGTTAACATGGAAATAAAATCCCACTGTGATAGTAGTAGTAGTAGTAGTAATAGTAGCAACGGAGGACGTAGGCACCATCCCTCTACCATTACGGCTAATAGGTTCTGCCCACGTCCGCCCTTATCTAGCGTTTATTAATAATTCTTAAATTTTTACATTGCCATATATTGTGGCTGTTTACAAATAAATAAAATAATTGTACTTAAATTATTAATATAACTTATTACATAAATTTTGGTTGGAGAATTTTCTCTAATAAATTTCTTTCTTTTGTAATTTCTCTTTATTTTAAAGTAGTCATATATTATTTCTTTACTGGGATGTGTCTCTTTTATTATTCACACCATTTCACCTGGAATGTTGTTTAAGTCCTCTTGCAAAATTCCTTTCATTTTGTAGTAGTTCTTTTATGAGTTTCTCAGTTTCAAGGTTTCTATTGTATTCCTCATATTATACTTATATATTGTGCTAACGCTTCCAGAATAGTACTTTTTCTTTCCAAAGTATTCGTCTTTTCCTTTTTGCATGTCGCTGAATCCTATCTTTCTTTGATCACACCGAATGAACATGGGTATGTTTTCTTGTAACTGAATTTTCAAGTTTATAATATCTTTATGACAATTTAACTACCAATGCGTCATGTCTTCATAATCGCGAAAAGTCAGTATTTATTTTTCATAATTTGAATGCATGTACATATTAAATCCATATACATTTTAAATATAATATGTATGATACTTTTTGCTAGAAATTAATCATTTTTTCAAATTATGAGCACTGATGTTATTTGCTTTACTCTATTATAGATGGCATTTATTACTTTACTACTTTATTTACTATATACTATTATATCCTGTTATATGAAATTATATTACTTGACATAAATCTGTGCCCAATTTTGTTAGGATATCCATTGTTTTTGTGATTTTTGCATTGTATGCTTTTGATTTACTAAGAATTTACCAATAGCTTGAATATTTGTTGTTGGCATTTTAATATGAAAATCTTTAGTGAGTGGGCAGCTAGTAATGTAATGTTCAGGCTTTCCCAGCTGACCATAAATACAGCTACTTGTGCTTGAAATACCAAACCTTTCGAAATACTCGGGAAAAGGTCCTTGTGGATTTGCAATTAGTCGTTGTGGATTTACCTTGGCAAAATGTTGATGTGTTCTTTTACCGGTTTCAGTGTTATGCCATTCGTCTTGCTTAGAAGGTCCTCCACGAAGGCATCCCTCCCTTTAGGCAGATAGCATAAGGTGTGCTTTGCCGTAATTAAATAAACCAAGCCAAACCAACCATTCGTCTTGCCATTTTGATATGGCAGTTGAAACTGTGCTAGCCGAACACTGTTCTTGACAGGTTATGGACCATTCCCAGTATACCTCAACAAATTCAGATTTGGGGATACTCCTTTCTGCGAATGTGGAGAGGAAGGCGACACGGACCATTACTACTTTCATTGTGTACATACAAGAACTTGGCATTTGAAGAATTCAGCGGATTGTGCATGGGCAATGTGGACGTCTAACACACTCAAAAACAGAGTAGCCCTTGGTAAAATAGAGAAATTTCAAGACACTGCTTAAACATGAATAATATTATGCTTCAAATGTTCAGAATTTAAAGCAGGTAACCGGAATAAAGCTTGGTGCATGCAGTTATCAATCTGTAGAAACTGTTGTTAGTATGGTAATGTTCAACTTATTTGAATTTATTTTGGAGTTTTCCCCGCCGTGATGGTATATAATTCCGTTTGGTTCTTGTCCGTGTCGGAAACCATCATAGATATCCACTCACTCACTCGAATGTTGAGTAGTTAATATTCTATGGTGCATGTTTTTCAACGTCTATTAAAAAGAACAAAAGGACTTTAAGGAATATCCAGACATACAGTAAACTAACTATGATGGCTAATTTACCTGTACCAAGTAGTCTTTTAAAAACAGAAAAATGTTAAGTAAAATACTCTTGCAGTCCGCCTTGGATGTAATACATACTTTTTATTCTTACTGAATCAGACGGCTAAAAAAATCCGGTACATGTGTATTAACCATTGTCTGATGCTACACCGCCAGCAATCTACTAGCGCCTTTAGGTGTCAAAATACACTTTTTAAAAAAATTTCTGGTGGGTATTGTTTAGCAGTTATATTAAAAATCATACCGGTTTGTCATTCTTCGTAACTTGTCTCCATTCAACTCTGTTATCCATTCAACTCTGTTAATTTAAGAAGGCGCGTATTTTACTGGAACTAATTGCTCAGTCTTTATTCTAACGTTGTACGATGGAAATGTAATATCGACTATTATTGACATTACATTTCCATCATACTTCTTCCATCATGTACAGTTTTGCTGCGAGAAATGGAAGACGTATTTTTCGAAAAGTACCGTATTCCTGTAAATCTGTAAATAATTTATTGTTTCTGCTTCATTCTTGGCGCGAACGGGCTGGCCGCAAGGGCGTTTTCGTGGTTTCATCTTTGTGTAATGTGTATGCGAGCCAGTTTCCCTTAGAAGTCCACAACGAAGGCATCTCTCCCCTTAGGCAGATAGCCTTCGAATGCTTTGCCATAATTAAATAAACCAACGAAACCAGACCCCGAGAATCTTTTGTGTGAGGTGAGAGAGGGTTGCCAAAAAGTGACCCAGTGCTGATATGCGCTTGCTGTAACAGATCTGAAGTTCAGTTGAAATTAAAAAAGAAATTATCTCCCGCCTGCCCTAGCAAAAAATAATAAATAAAATAAATAAATAAATAAAAAATTGCATTTTTCTAGAAAAATTTGCCACTGTAACAAAGGCTGATGAATGCTCGCAAGAACCAGTGTCAGTGGAGGAATTTTTAGTGATATTGTACGTGTATAATTGGTACAGGCTAATGCACTAGTACCAAAATTTCTTAATAATAAATCAGCCAGTTAAACAAGAATATCATATTACTAGCGTGGTAGTGCTTATATTTAAACATATATTTCAAATAAATTAGTAAATTTTTAAGTGTGATGTATGCCTGAATACGTTCATTGGCAATTCGCATAACTGTACATACTCATATTGTTTGCTACATTTTGTTCATATTTATTTAAGTAATTGCAATATGATAAAGAACACAATAACTAACACACAATTACTTGCGCAGCTAGCCTTTGATCTGGCAAATAAAGTCAAAAATTAAATACTATCCTTGTCAAAGTACAGAATAATTAGAAAATTGGAAAATCTAACAGCGAGCTAAAAAGCGATTAAAAATATTTCGAGCATATTATTAAGTAAATATCTTAACTTAAAAGCAAGAGAAGAACAAATTAATGTTATGACTAAAAACGAAGAAATAATAAATAAATATGCTTATTCAGAAAAATGTGAGAACTTGGAATAAAATAGAATGTTAAACACACAAATTCGCATTCAAACAGATTATAGTGTTGCTAAATCCTGAAACACAAAAATTTCTAATTACAGCAATTGTTTTTAAAAAACATTTTAATCATTCAGTTTGAATGGCGTCACATTCAAATGCTGCTTTCAAGAGCAAGACAAACAAGGCGGACATTAAGCTAAAGAGAAAACAAAATTATTATTAAAAAAAAAAAAAAAACTCAAGTGATTTAAAAAATAAACTAAAAACTTTAGTATTTAAAAGGCAAAGGCGAAACAATATTTATCAGAAGGTAGAAATGTTTTAGATTTAAAATTAGCACACTTTCTCATCGTTAGTTTCTCATAATCGACAATTTAAAAATAGTTTCCGAAATATTTCGCATTTTATGACGTTTCTCCCTTAAAGTCGTATAAGAACCATTTTTTAAAATGTAAATGTGACTTCTTTTTAAAGAGAAATGCCTATAGTTTACGATAATTTAATATTTGAAATTGTACGAAATACCATCTGCAGGACTGAATGAAAAAATATAAAAAATTCTTAAAATATAAATTAAGTATTAAAAAATTATAAATTCAAAAGTTTGGTCTAATACCTTCTCATATTCGGATGCAGGACTACGTGGATTCAAAATTTAATGCCTTTAAGTCCCAGCGTCTTTTCAGAGTCACGCATTCATAAAGTTTTCATTTTTTAATCATAGAGATTATGTATACCACTATAAAATCCATTTCTTAAGCATCAATCTATGAAGGTTGAACTTAAGAGAATGACTCTTCTTGCATTTTTACATATGGAAGCTAGATAATTTAAAGTAACCTTTTCATTTTATCTCATTTTCCTACATTATGAAAATGTCGGGTATATAATTTCTCATTTTTTTTTCCAGGTCCTTGTCGCCTATCTGTCATACATGACCAAAGTTGGGGTTTTGCTTGGAGGTGAAGAGAATTCCACACGAGCTCAGATGGAAGACGTCATTGAATTTGAAACAAAGCTAGCAAATGTGAGTAAATATGCAAAAGTAAATAACGTACTATCTTATCTTTACAGCCCCCATTATAATGACTCCAAGATTATTGCCAAGTTCATATTTACTTTTCACATATGGCTCCTGGCTGTCACAGTTTCGCGATTGCCTTTAATAGAGCATTAAAACTAACAGGTGCAGCAGTGAAACGGGCGATTTTGTACCTCCACCAGCGACACAAATTTGTTACAGCGATATAAAAGAAATGCAGCATGAATTTAGAATGCTTGCGATTCGTGAGAAATGTTCCGGAACAACTTGCACATTTTGCGCAGACATGTCACGGTACACAATGTCCAACACTTAAAATAGGTGGCCTCCATTTCCTTTCACACACATTGTAAGTCTTTTGCGAAAGTTAGACATCACATCTTGCAGGAATGACATTGGCATTCGACTGACTTTCTTTCGAAATTGATCCTTCAGTTCCTGGATGGTGTGGTGGGTCACATCCGAAGATCTCCGTTTTCAAATGACCTCAAAGAAGAAATAACTTGCTGAAAGCTCTGGGGATCTTGGAGACCAGGAAATGTCCCACTTCTCGGAGATCAGATGACCAGGAAAGATGTTCTGTGGCGCGTTAAGGGAGGAAATCCGTGAAGTATGACATTGGATCCGTCTTGCTGGAAGAATGTGTTTGCAGTTACAGGAAGATCAGAAAGCTGTCGCGCTAGGAAGTGGTTCAGCATGTGAGCATAACTTTCTGTACTCACAGTAACAGCATTGCGGTGATCGGTTTCAGAAAATAAAGCCCGATGATTCCGGATGATGATACGCCGCATCACACTATGACTTTTTGACTAAGAAGTGGCTTTTCATGAAGCATTTCAGGATTTTCACCTGACCAATCTAAAGTTTTGCTTGTTAACCAGTGCAAGATTTAGGTATAAGCTACACAAGCTATAGTTTGAGGCCCCCATTTCCTTCGGGCCCTCCGAAAAAATTTAAAATAGTAATATATATTAAACTATTAAATGCAGATATAGATATTTATATTTAGTAACTTATATAAAATGTTATATTTATATTTATAAGGTATTTTCCCCGCCTTCCTAGCGTGTCTTCGTGGTGTGGTGGTCTGCCACTATGTCGGTATTCCAGAGGTCCGTGGTTCGATTCCCGGCTAAAGAGTTGCATATTTTTCATCTCTCCGGCTTTCAAAAACTCCTAATGCTAATAGTGGCACCCGAACTAAAAGGATGTTGGATGATGGTTCTTCTCACCCAGGATTTGGCGATTGGGTCCCCTAAAAACCTCAGTCGCCCTTTAAAAGGGGGAGTATATAAGATATTTCTCCCGCGTTCCTAGCGAGCCTTCGTGGTGTGGTGGTCTGCACATTAGGTCGGTATTCCAGAGGTCCGTGGTTCGTTTCCCGGCCAAGGCGATTGCTCATGTTTCATCTTTCCTGCTTCTAAAAAAATACCTAATGCCTCTACATATTATATTTATTAAATATAAATATAGATATTTTTATATAATATAATATATATAAATTTAATATAGTAAAAAATAATATATTTATACAAATTATACTTTTATGAATTTATATTATTAAATATAAATATAGTATAACAAACTTATAAAGGGCCCCCATATTTCAAACAGCTTAGGGCCTCATCAAGTCTAAATCCGGCTCTGTTGTAAACAAAGCCTGACAAATACAAACTGGACCCATTGCTCAAGCTCAGATTATCGTACAGACCTGGATTGCCGTTAATGAGCTTCAACAATTCCCTGAAAAAGCGTAGTCTTTTTGGTAGGTCTTCCGAATTCAGTTTTGCACTATGTGCATTTTGTATGGGTCGTAATACAGTTCCTTGTGTAGTATTCGCCGTACACTGCGATTCGATATGACAAGTTGCAGGGCAAGTTTGCGTGCAGAATGCTTGGGACTTCGACTGAAGGCTTCTTCCACTCTTGCAACATTCTGTGGTGTACAGACGCGTTTTGCACTTCCACACTTCTTTCGTACCACATCACCCGCTTCCTTAAAGTTATGTACCCATAATTTGATAGCATACGCCAAAGAAACTGAGGCATGACTTGTAAGATTGTAATGAGCATGAAATACACGCTGCACTGTCACATAGCTGTCGTTATTCGCCTTCACGACAAAAGCGCGTTGCTCACCGGTTCACGAGGCCATCTCGACTGAACACCGACATCAGGGTCAATGCAAAGGTTTGTTGTCCAAATCGCACCACTCCCGTTTTCTGATTCCTAACGTAAGTTGCTATTTTCAGGGTTACCAAATTGCCCGTTTTACTGTCACACCTGTTATTTTCTTGTCCCAAGGACCTTTTGCCACATGAACGCCATCTTCGAGCGATCCACTGCAAGTCTCTGACTACGACTTCTTTGACAATGTAAACGCTCACTTCATCTGAATAGAAACGTAGGGATGATTGAGTCAGTGATTCCGTTTCTACTTGGAACCAGTTGAAAGTCTATCCGGGCAGTAACTCCGAGCAGTGTTCGCAGAAATGTCTTGCTCAATTTTTCCGTCATGTCGAAAATGCCGAGATGGAGCGATAATCTAACTATGATATTTTTTAATGCATATGCATCTTGTGAAGTATTATGGGTTACTTCACTGCCTGAATATTAGGACTATTGTTTATTAATACCTAAATTTAACGTGGATATAACTACTGATCAGAATGAATTTAAGTTTTTGATATTGTAAAAACAAAAACATACAAGAAAATTAAATTAGGGTATCGGATTCAAAATATTTATTTTAAACATATACATTTCTTAATTTCTTTAATAAAAACAATTAAATTATATATTATTCAACACATAAACACAATATATAAATAGTTATAAAACACAATTTTCAATTATAAAAATAAATAAGAGGACAGACTTTCCGCACATCATTGATTTTGTTTGAAATTTTGTTTTTAGACTTTCCTTTTATTTGAATAACAAATTAGATCTTATTTACAAACGACCAGTCGGAAGTATTAAAATAAAAATCGCTACAGAAGGCGTATGAGGATATTATTAACATGTTTAAGTTTGAGGCTGTTGGAACTGGAGAGTTAATCAAAAGATTTCGCTCACTAGAAAATGGCTTCAAACACTTCTGGAATAAATATGCTGATTGTGCATTTTGGCACTCTAAAAGCAATATTGCAGAGAACTGTAGTAGTCACCCATTCCCAGGAATTCGTTTGAATTTTGCTCGCAGAGCATTTCGAACGAACTTTTTTTTTTGTGTTTTTGTTTGCCTGAATAAGTGGAGTAACCATTTCCAATAAAGTTTCAAACTATCCTACCCATTCTGATGCAATTCTTGTAACTTTGAATAACCTCGCTTCGAAGTTCACTTAAAAGTTGATTTAATGCTCCCAATTCATCACGGCGAGCTACCCAAAATCATGAACATTTTTTGGGGGGTTAGCATTAACACAGATCGTTTTACTGTATCTGTGTGCTTCATGATCCATCTCGTGGTGATGCATCTGTCATTTTTTAAGTATTGATTTCCTTTTTGTAATTTTGGATATATTGATTTCCTTTTCTTCTTCCTCCTCCCCCCTTTTTTTCCCCTAGAACAGAACTTAATTCGTTGAGAACTGCTTCGCAAACTTCAAACACTGCAACTGCTACGTCGGTACTCATTTGCAAACAAACGGAGGCGAGTTGTCAGTCCGGTTCTGATTGGTGTAAACAATCTATCAGATTACAGATCCGTTCAAACCCGATTCGAGACAACGTTACGAGGATCTCGTCGCAAGTCCCTCGCAGAAATGTAAACTCGCTTTTATCCGTGATTTTTATTCCGTATGTAACATGAATACGAGCCAATTTTCACGAAACCATGAAATAATTCTTTATCCCTCATACGCTTTATATATTATTTATACATATAAAGCGTGGGAAGGTTAAAGAAGGTATGAATATTAAGAAGCGTATCAACGTTATCATTAACGTTATTTAATGTAAATCAAATTTTCTCAAACTATGGTACATTGCATTATTTTCTTAGATACAATTTTTACGTGAAAGATTTAGACGAATGTTTAAAATGAAGGCAGTGGTAATGAATGTAAAATGGCGTCCCTTTTGGCGCATTATGGTATTATTTATGTAGTAGAAAATTGAAAAAGTTTGAGACCCGTGAACTAAATAAACAAAGAAACTTTGGCAAATATTCGTGCGCTGTGCCAAAATCAAATAATCGAATCCTCTCTTTTCAGATCACGATCCCGGCAGACGAACGGAGAGACGACGAAGAACTCTATCACAAGAAGACAATCAGCGAAATACAAGAACTGGCGCCCGTGCTGGATTGGACGCAATATTTCAAATCCGCCTTCAAACTGATCGATCGAGAGATAGGCCCGTCCCAGGAGCTGGTTGTCTACGCCCCCGAGTTCATACGTAAGATGTCGGAGCTGGTGACGCAATACTTGTCCACGCCCGAGGGAAAGATGTAAGATACATGATGTAACAAAGACGCGGTGACTTTTCTCGAAACAAATAATATGTCGACGAATTAAGTGTTAAACAAGTATTAATATGCAAACTATATCTACTAACTTTTAGTATATTATGAAATTGTCCTAGCTTTATGACCTTAAGCGTAAAATTCATTTTTTTCAAATTTTGCAGTTTCTTGTACTGCAAGGAAAAATTGTCCCATTTTGACGATTTGTTGCTAAATCTGCAGTTAAACCACGCGCTCTTGACAGACATTCGGATTCCCATTTGAATTTGCACTCTTAATTACATCAGAAACAGATCTTCCCCTTTCGGAATTTGAATTCTTTTGTTGCCAGTCCATCGCTAAGTTTAACGACTTATCAGCAGTTTGGCAATTTTAAAAAACAATTTATCTACGAAAGTTTTCATTCAGTGATTGGCCAACTTTGTACGGGTTTTAGCAAATACAATAATGTTCTTCCAAATACCATTAAAATAAAGGATAATATATTAAAAATTACGCTTTTTCCATAGCGAATATCAAAATAAAACATTTTTATTATAAGTTATTTTTTTAAGAAAATCCATGTCACCCATTTATCTGAATTTTTTCAAATATCCTTTGGGTTTTTTTTTTTTTTTTTAATTTTATTTTGACAAAATTAAAAGGCATGATTTACATTACAAAGATCGTTCCAAATGTAACACTCAATCTACTGTAGCTTGGTAATGATAAGCACTAGAACAATGGAATTGTAAGTACAAGCTTTGGTCTTTCGAAAATGTCACTCATTGTATGGTCCTTTTGCTTTACTTCACTACAGCCATCTTATCACCCACGATACGTCCATTCCATTGACTGCTTTTAGGATCGAAATGAAACAGTGAGGTTTCAGTAAGCATAAATGACGTCATGAAAGCATTCTGAACATTTCCCAGAGAATCTTTGCAGAACATCATCACACACGCCGCTCCTGATTTGCATCGTTTTCCGTCTCAAGAGCCGTGTAACCCACCGACCACATTTTTTGGAGGTATCCCAGTCGTTAGTGTTAACACAGATCGTTTTACTGTATCTGTGTGCTTCATGATCCATCTCGTGGGGATGCATCTGTCATGTTGGATGAGTTTTGATCAGTTGTAACGGTTGACTGTCTACCTCACAGTAGCTGGTCATGAATGTATGTTGCGATTACGCCAAAACTTCTGAAGCCATCTATGCACATTACTTCGATCCATCGTGTTATCCGCATAAACTAGGAAAAATAAATAAATAAATAAATAAAAAATAAAATAAAAAATAAAAAAAAATGTACAGTGGATCGATATAGCTGTGTTACTCCCGCTTTGTAGAGAAATTCAATCACTGCGCGTTAGTGTAAGAGAGAGTCACGTTGTTCATTTGCAACAGTAGCAAATAAAAGTTAAACACAGGTTATGAGATGAAGGAAAAATGCTTCTGTTTACAAAATTCCATTTATCTAGTGTTTACCATAAACACTTAATTAATTGTTAATAAAAAATATTGTGTTAATGCATTTTCGCTGTCTTTGGATGCGTTCCGAGTAACGTCCCTCTTTCCCCATAGCGTTATCAGCAACTATCTGGGTTGGTCTCTCGTGCAAAGCCTCACCTCTTACCTCTCCAAGCCCTTCCGCGAAGCCTCAAAGATACTTCGAAAAGCCCTGGTGGGCTCGGAAGGAGGAGAGAGCCCTTGGAGATATTGTGTCTCCGACACTAATGACGTCATCGGATTCGCCTTGGGAGCCATGTTCGTCAGGGAGGTCTTCCACGGAGAGAGCAAACCCATGGTAAGACAATGATTTCTGACAATCTGAAGATGCGTCGCAGTTTTTGAATGTAACAATTAATTCTTGTTTGTCAGCTATGTAAAACCTAACACCTATCTTAGGTTTCACATAGTAAGTATCAATCTATTAGGTTTATTTGAATAGCAGTCAACTTTCGATTTACCATCATATTTAAATTAATTTAAAATCGTGGTTCATCTGAAGGCAGGCGAAAAATAGGTATTTGTCGGTTATAGCATGAGAAACAGACTGCTGCTGATACGTACGCAACAACTGATGTGTCAAGAGGGAAAATAATTTTCGAAATTGTGGCTTGTTAGCAATACCGTGAAGCAGCAACAGATTGATAAAATTTTAAATTCAGGAAATAGCAAATTAAATAGCAGGAACAAATATAAATGAAACGGTGTAAAGTTAAAACTACCAAAATGGGCATAAATTGCCAAATATGGCTACCTTTTATTCATTTCTGATGATCCTTTCATTTTTTTTTTTTTCCAATTGCGGCCAATTACCCTATAACGGCATTGGCCGCTATTAAGTCCAGAAACGGAGACCATTTTATTGTGGAGACACCTAATGGGTGGCCAGCGCTACCTCCTATGAAGGGGTACACAATTTTACTCCATGCCTTCTCCGGGATTCGAACCCGAGCCCTTCTGTATCGCAGTCAGGCATCCCTAACTACTGTACCGTCTCGGCGACACCGTATTTATAATATGAGCTTGTATAAGTTCACTCATGGTATTTCACTGCGAGGAGAATTTTGTCCTCAATTTTTAACCTATTTTTATTTCTTACACGAAGTGAAGGAAGTACTGTAATAGCGAAAATTTTCGGGTGTCATATTTCAACGAAGATATTCATTTTGACCGCTGTCGAATACAATTTAGAAATGTTTTTTGCGTGACATCTGTACGTAAGAACAGAATAAATAACTCGTTTTCCCAAAACGGGTTGCAAAAAGGATTTAAAATGGTTCAAAAGAGATTTTTTTTCGTGGCGTCTGTACGTACGTACGTGACGTTTCTAAACTTTTTTCTCTATATAAATTCGCGAAGTAGGAAACAGATAAATTTCAGATTTGTCAATGATAACGTTTTATTTGTGTTAAAATAACAGAAGGATATTTTTATTCACGGGCTTTTATTATTTTCAGGCGGAGGCCATGATCAATGAAATCCGGGATGCATTCAAGGAAAACTTGCCTCTTCTGAAATGGATGGATCCCGAAACTAGAAAACTCGCCAAAGAGAAGGTAAGTCTTACGAATATAAATCTGCTCTTTTATAACGGCATGCTTGATTTATGTTTCAAATTACGTCAATATTTGCAATTTCAAATTAAGTCATTGTATTTTAATACGATACAACATTTATTATTAATAAAAACTAAGACAGCCTTATTGTATTCGGCCGCTTTGGATGGGAATCTTTTTGGTACCCTGCAAGCCAAAAAGGTGTTTACGCATTATCGCAACACCTTCGAGTTAGAGGCTAAAACGAGAAAAATAACTTATGATATGATTCAGCGGGAATAACAGATTAAGTAATTCTATTTACGGAATTTAATTACAATTTTATATCGCGAAAAATAAAAACGTGGGGCACCTAAATAATAAAATCTATGAATTTATTTTCATTGCCGTATGAGAAGCATGACAACAGGCAATCCGACACCCTGTTGTTGGTGTTGTTGTTGCAGGTGCTCACTTGTCTGTACATTAGTAACAGTAACATTAGAACAGGCCCACAAAATTCCTCATGGCAAGCAGCGCAAGATTACTCCTGTCGTTGGCAACAGCCTTGAGCACCTCACAGGTGGCAGCGCGATTTAGCTCACTTCCGCTCCCAATCTTCCTCTACCACCAACTCTCCGCATGTTTAGAGTGCTCCCATGCTGCTCGGACACTATGCATTTACAAACTTCGCTGCCTGCTCTGGGATTCGAACTCGGACCCTTTGCCACTGCAGTCAGCGACGCTAACCACTCTACCAATTCGACCGCGTCCGACACCTTAACTATAGCAAGCCACTTGCAGATCTTTAGCCTTTTAAATGCGACTTGCTTGGAACAAAACAGTAGTTTAATTTTAAAATATACTTGCATTTTGGAATAAAAATCATTTCTTTATTCATCATTAATTTAATTTTTTCCCGCCCAGAGGAGACAGTAGTTAGTGACTCTGACTGCCTGACTGCCGTGCCGAAGGGCTCGGATTCGAATCCTTGAGAAAGCATGAATGTTTGTAAATGTGTAGTGTCTTTGTGTGGGTGCATTCAAAAATAGATGGTGAGCCGAGAGTCCTCTTGTATGGCTTTATTGTAGGGAAGAAGGATGGAAGATCCTCAGACTACCCCACAGTGCTCTTCCTCAAACTCCGGTTGGAAAGTAGAAGTCCAGCATCTTTTAAAGCTCTGGCAACCGTACTTCCATGAAATATGGACTCGAAAACAATAATTTAATTTCTTAAATTATGTTACTTAAATCATTTAAATCACATGTGTCCAATAATTTAATCAATCTAAAATGGCCACCACACTCTTATTGCCAAAGTTACTAACAAAACTAAAAATAATTCCATTTCTGTCAATTACTATTGCATCCATGTTACTTTTAGAACAGGAAATGCCATTGGGGGTGTGCAAAATATATAAATATGAAGGTAATGAAAAAACAATACTTTATTATTTACTCCACTCAGCTTCGTTTTATTTCAGGCATTTTTTGCTTTCATTCCTTCCGAGTAAGCTCCGTGTTTCAAAACAATAGTCGTGATTCAATGTCTCGGAATATTTGTTATTCCTTGCCGTAGTAATGGCTTGGGTAACTACTGAAGAAACTCTTTTCAAGAAAGGAAAATCACTGTCCAGAAACGGGTTCCTCCAATCTGTGTTCTTCAGAATTTTAAATCTGAGAATTTTATAATTTGTGAGATAAATCTTCCTGTTCGTACTTGGTTGGGAGCTCTTTCAAAATAATTTTCTCACATTCAGGTGCCCTTCAAAATTAAGTTCCCATTCCTAAGCAAGTCAGGTCATTTTTTATGCAAATTTCGTAACAGTTTCGCTTTAGTAAAGAGCTGTGATATGCTGTACTTACTCTTTTCCTGCATGAAACTATCTTTCATGATAATTCCTTGGTAGTACCACGCAGACGTCACCGTTTATGTCACCAATGATTAAGCGTGTTGAAATGTTTCTGGTTGTGGTGAAAATGGGCTTTTCCAATGAACTGTCAATTACTTCAGTTCTGATCAAAATTTTTAATTCATGTTTTGCCAGCTGCTGTTGTTCGGAATATATATCTTTCACCGTCATCGTGAATTCTTCATTACAATAATGGCGTCTCAAGCAGTGGGGAAGAAATGGCACAAACTTCTCTTTTTTGCAGTTTCTTTCAAAATATGATAGACACTTATGTAGTACAAAATTAAGATAATTAGCAAACTACGTCTATTTTTACGAAAAGTGAACTAAAGGTACTAATTAGGCCGCCGAAGAATTATGCAAATATTCAGAGTCGAATATACATAAGCGTACACTTGCGAGTCTGCAAAGTTGTGATTGTGGAAGGGGATATAAGCGTACGAGGAGTTCTCGGCGATTTGTACACTCGTACTACTTCATGGAATTCGCCATGTTTATCGCAAGTGTTGGTACATTTTATAAGGTATCAGGTAAAATGAGTAACCACGAATGTGGTGGGTGACGGATTGAGATGAAGAATTGTCGGTAGATTGGAGGCAGGCCAGTCACAGACGCAGGTGGCTACAATATAACTCCCAATGTCGTTTGTAATTTGTCAAAACAATATCAGGACATTGTATTCATATCTAAAAGACGTGGACTAGGTCCACCAAGATCCAAAACAACGAATGAGCTTCGTTATTTAGTATATTCATTGCGTTGATACAGGGCTGCTATATAATCATACCTCGCAAGTGAGTTGTAAGCTGCCACTAGAACCTGGGTTTTACGTTCGATAGTTGACCGAAAGTTTCATGAGGTAAGAATGTAAGCCAGTAGATCAGCTGTTAGCGTGCCGCTCAGTGCAGCACACAAGAGAGTGCTCTTAGTATGATGCAAATACAGGCGTTTAGCATTATGCTTCTTAGTTCTGCTGTACATGCGCCTTGGACCAGACTTGGAGCACCATGATTTTTACAGATGTGTCGAGATTCAGCCTGGACACTGATTATTGGCGTACCTGAATCTAAAGAGAGCCTGGAATACCATATCATCTCTCCCTCATGAGGGTAAAGGATCATTACAGTGGTGGCGATGTAATGGTTTAGGCAGGCATTAAGGTTGGACGTCTGCACACCCATGCCTGCATCTCAGAAAGGCTGTTTGACTGCTGCGAAGTATAGAAAGGAGATCGTAGTGCCCCATGTTCGAATTTTCAGGGCGTTGTTGGTCCTGAATTCCTGAATGACAATGTTCATCCATATATGGCTCAACTGATCGAAGATTATCAGTAAAGTGAGGATATTTACCATATGCATCAGCCAGCCGGATTTAACCTATTACAGCATGTCTGGGATGCTCTTAGCAATTTCATCTCGCAATCTCCCTCTGAGAACCATCCTAGAGTTGAAAACAGTCTTGCTGAAGGAGTGGGATCGACTGCCATAGGGACTCCTCAGCTATCTTCTGCTCAGTATGCTGTCACGCTACGCGACCTGTCTGGCTGTGAGAAGGGACCACATCTCATATTAGACTCATTTTCAATTTGTTATCACAACGTGGATCTTGGACATACCTGCACTATGTGCTTTGCTAATAATCATGCCCATATAAAATGACTTTTGAATAGTATATCTCTTTCTCTGTTAAAAATGTATACTAATACCAAATTTCATTAAAATCTGTCCATTTACAGAAATTCGACATAGTATGCAAATTCACTAAATTTTGCACACGGGTATATTAACGCTGAGAAAATAGCTTTAGCTTGAAGTTTTCTCATGTATTGCTTGACGAACTTCTTTCTTTCTAGCCCCAACCAGTGACCGAACGGTAAAGTCGCTAAAGAATGGTAGTTCGGTCCGGGGTTCGAATCCCAGCGAAGGTCTAGCTGTGTGGGTGTTTTCGTGGCTTTCCCCATGGTTAACGTGTATACGAGTCAGTTTCCCTTAGAAAGTTCACCGAAGACATCCCTCCCCTTGGGCAGATAGCCCTCGAGTGCTTTGCCGCAATCAAATAAACCAAACCAAACCTTTCTTTCTAGCCCCCCCCGCAAATATTCCATTAGGTTAGGACCGATGCTCACTATGAAACTAGAACTTTTATGAACTCCACATTTCGTATCCTATCGTCATTAATTTTGACCACCCTTGGTATAAACCATTATTCTTTTAATTATTCATGGGCGTAGATGGATTCTGAAATTAGAATTATTCAATCTATTATTGCCAAACTATGTGATAAATTAGTTTTCGTCCTTTTGTGCATTAATCATTACATCTATTTAAATAAAATATTTGTATTTTATTATGCACATGTACTACCGCGTGAAATGCGATTTAATACAGTAATCACCATTTAATTAATTTTTGATTAATATTTAGTCACTATGCAACTGCCTAAGAAACTCAGATACACAAAGCAATGAACTAATTTCGTAACGATTTAAATTCTTATTCAGAAGCAAGAGTTGTTGCCATGTGACCTTGCTTACGTAATGGCACAGTCTGTAATCTGTAGCTGGGGTAAACTACTATTAAATATTTCTTTTTTGAGCAATAGATGTTTATGTTTGTCTTCAAACAGTGGCTTGAACGAAGGTTAATATTCATTACTATCAGGCCAAATCTTGGGTCCTTCGCGGCCGTGGCATGATGCTTCGTACGTTCAAGCTTAAGAGCGTGCTTTGAACTAAAATTCCGAGATGTCTAAATCTTTTATAGTGTTCAAGTTGTTAAAATATATCTATCATGTTCAATTTTAAACATGTTTAATTTGTAGCATATGATAATTTGTGAATGACACAAACATATTAACATAACATCTGAACAGAGGAGGAGCGCGTGTCTTTTTCATCGGACCAGACGGAGTGCAGAAATGCCACAGCATTCCTGTTGGAAAAATCGCCTCCAACTATACATGCGAGCTCATCGCCATCAAAAGTGCTCTGGAGATTTATCTCTCTAAAGAAGACCAAAGTTCCAAGGGCATCATCATCTTCTCTGACTGCAGATCAGCATTGCAAGTGATCCAGAAGGGCAAATGTCAACTCACTCTTCAGATCATTAAGCTCACAAACAAAATCAATGCTGCCCAAAGATCCCGAATCTTACAATGGATACCGGCTCATGTAAATATTTTTGGTAATGAGAAGGACGATGAGCTTGCAAAGGCATCCCGGATTATCCTCGCCCATCCAACTGCCTAACCCTCGTTGATGCCATGCTTGCCAGCCAAGACTAATCGGTCAAGTTAAAGGAAACTCCCTCCCGGAATTGAATTGTAACAGAGCCATATCGACTATCATAACCAGACTTACGACAAATCACTTAAAAGGGAGAGGATTTCTGCAGACTGACAGCGTAGTTACACCAACATTTGTCCTCATTGCCCAGATGACATCCCACTGTCTCGCCATCACATCTTCAGCTGCCCAGCAATCCAGGCCAGACTGTTTAACATCGACATTGAAGACCCAGTGGACCTACTTTATACTGATAGAGCTGCCGAGGTTGCAAAAGCTGCCTTTGACAGCTTCAGAGCTATATAATTGCAATTTTTCATAGACACGACATCATCATCATCTGTTCTATCATTTGCAGCATAACTGTAATTAATAAAAAATATTTCTGACATCATATATTATCATAAACCCTAGGTACTCAATAGTGTGATTTAGTATATTTACCTTTTCTATGCTTATTTTGAATAGATTCATTAGTGTCGCTATGTGGTTTTGTACTGAAGCTTAAAATAAAATCTTTTATTTGCTTTTTAGGCCGATGCTATAACAGACATGATAGGTTTCCCCGAATTCATATTGGACCCGAAGAAACTGGACAAGAAGTATGAAGGCGTAAGTATGAACGTATACAAATTGATATAGTATATATAGAAATGGTATATCTTTTCAATAGCGAGTACAGAACACTCTGAAACTTGAACCGTTCGACTATTAAAGTTTGGTTTCGAGATAGGAATTCTAGTTTCTTCAATTCGCTGCTAAAAGCGCTGCATACCTTCTGAGTCAAAATCACACTTCCTTTTTGTTGTTAATGTAGCGTGATGGATACTTAACGCTATATTTTAAGTAAAGAATAGCATTTTTTTCAATATAATTCATCTTTGGGCATTCTCAGCATCAAATACAATTGTGTTTCAAAAACAGTAGCTGGGAAATAATTGCCATGGTTGGCTTCGTCTTAAATTAGCCATAGTTCGCATTAGAATTCCCGGTCCTAATTCTGGAATTCCTTTCCGAATGTTAGCTTTAAGCAGTTGTATGGTTCGTGGTTATTTACATGTTCCATTTTTACTTCCTTGTACGCAGTAAAAAGAAAGTATTGTAATCGCGAAAAACTTCAGGCATCATATTTCAACGAAAATATCCATTTTGACTGATATCGAATGCAATTTAACGATATATTTGCATGACATCCGTACGTAAGGACAGAACAGAAAACTCGTTTTTCCCCCCAAAATTATAAAACTGACTTAAAATGAATTCTGAAGAGAATTTTTCGTGGCGTCTGTGCGTACGTACGTACCTTTAGTTAACCTGCATGCAATAATTATGGAATTATTAACAATTAAATTGCGGCTAAGCCTAATTTTTGATTACCCTGGCTGAGTTGTAAAATGAATGAGATGTAATCCTGTTAAATGAACCTAGCGCCGAAGTCTCGCTATGGTAAATAAATGTAGTGAACTTTAAAGAATACATTTATTCTATTGTGGTTTATGCGCTATCCACGAAGTAGATTTAATTCAAAATTCGTTAACTGTTAATTCAATATGTTTAAATGAAATGCAGCAAAATTGCGTATAATTTAATATTCTGTACAAGTCATGTGGTGTACACATCAGATTTTTTTTTTCAAGTAGTCGCAGAGAAGACATAATCTGTAGCCGTTAAGTCTAGCGATCGGGTGATGCCAGTTAGAAATAGAAAATTGAAAAATTGTGCAATTGCCAAAAAATTTCCTTTCAGGTAGCCATTACTTGTTGATGAAAATATTGAACCGTTCTGTAAATTGTTTGTATGTTCTCCAAATACAGTGAAACCTGGGTTCGCGAATTTAATTCGTTTCTGAAGGCCATTCGTTATTTGAAATGTTCGTGAATTGAAACAGTTTTCTCTATAGGGATTGATACAAATGGGTTAATTTGTTCCTGGATCACAGATGATTGCTCATATAAATTTTACAACAGTAGATAGTGAACAAGTTCATAACTCAGTAACTAACTACAGCACTCATTAAATATTAAACGACCTGTACAAAGAAGACTGAACGGCATTAGTGGAAAATTATTAGGAGAATGGTTATTGCTTGGATAAAAACATGAAGTTTTCATCCAAGCAACATGAGGTAATCATGTAACATCAACATGAGGTAAACATGAGGTCGTTCTTAGGAAGCAGCTTCTCTTAGCTATGTCTCTAACACCCACTCTGTTTGAGAACTTAGAGACAATATACTACTTAAAATGTATTCAGTATGACTTGTTGGTGGTGTTTTTAAAACGTTTCTAATGTGAAACATTGTATTGCCACTGAAATTGGCTTAGATCAGTTTCTGCTTGTCTCGTTTAACCGGGGAATATGACCGGCCATCTCTGGGCATGAACGATATTAAATTGATGCTCCAGAAAAACCAGTAGCTCAATTTTTTTTTATTCCAGCCGATCGGAATTTTCGTGAGGAAGTCGAATTATGAAGAATAATTTCGGTGTTCCCAGTTATTCGAAGTTGCTGTTAGAAGAATTGTTCAGGAAAAATTTAACTAATAAAAAGTTATCTCAAGTCAACCAAAAATTGTCTACCATACTTATGCTGAAATTAGGCAAATTAACCATCATACAGATTTAGAAATTATTATCAATGATGTTCTTTACTAAAAAGGATTGAAGGCCAGAAAATTAATGTCTTAATTTTTTTCATCTATTTTTCTATACTTTTGTTATTTTGATTGAATTTCAATGCTTTTATTTGCCTTTTTTTAAAGATATGAACCATTGCTTGTATTATTTTCCTCAATGTGGAAAATAGTTATTGGAAATGCGATCTTATATTACCTTAAAATTTATTAAATATTAAAGGAACACATACCCTTCTCCGGAATGAATCACATATTTATCTTTTTGAATCGGATGAAAAATACAACCTAGGCACGGCTCAAATAATTAATATAGAATAATATGTCAAAATTGTTGTTAAAATCCACCTAGGATACCTTCACTGACTAATGTAAAAATCAAAATACTTATCCCGCATGATGATGACCTTCATTATATAAATTTTCAGGTATTGCCGTTCTAATCCGTAGAGCGGCTTAGCAGTTTCGGCAGTCATAGTCTTGAGCCCGGTTTTGAATCTCGGAGAAGACATCAATGTTTATATACGTATAGTATTTTGGGGGCATAGGATGCACTTGAAATATCGTCAAACTGAAAACCTTCGAAACCTTCGAAAACCTTCGAAAGGTGGATGGTAAGAGGACAGAGGTTACAGACATTTGGATCCTTACCATGAAATTCTCTCCATCGAAATTGGAAGAGGACTGGACAAACTCGCTCTGTCACCTATAAGGTGCCCAAAGCCTTTCTGAACACCTATAATGTGGCCAAGGCCTTTTTGAAGAACAGATGTTGGTGCTCAAGACCTTTTGAGACCTGACCATTATTTATACCAGATGAGTATACTCAGACTTTATCTAGAGTATACTCATCTGGTAAACTAGTAAAACAAATAGCATTCTTTCCTATTTCAATCATTTCACGTTCCGGAAACAAAGTGTCGAAAATAACGCTATATCTTTTAAAAGTTAAATGCTTTTGATCTGAGCTTTAATGATATTAGATAACAAAGATTTAAGCAAGTGATTTGGCAACAAGATACTTTGATACTTTTATAACATGCTAGTCCACAGCAGGAGATTTGCTTTCATGCTCTTACCAGTTCCTTAATGAGTCCCAAACGGGCCTGGCGGAAGTGAAAAACATCAGCGACGTTTTTTCCAGGGGAGGCAGAAATAGATGGAGCAAAGACTGTGAAGTATCTTGCTTCTTTTAGAGAAGATGCTTGACTGTCTGTGTGTTGAAGTACTAAATGGAGTCCTAGAATGGGTAGAAAATGAGAAAATGAAATCTACGATTGAAGGAAGTCAGTTCGTGAGATTTCGCTTTCTGATTGGTTAGCTTGGTCACGAAAATCATTATACAAAACATGTGCTGCGAGCCGTAAGAGCCTGAATACAATGTCATAAGCTTTGCCACACACTCTGTACATATGCTCAGACCAGGTGAATTTTCCGTTGAAGGTGATACCCAGATAATTAGCAGAACTCTCCCTTGGGACTTCGGCTCCGAAAAGCTTAGCTTCTGAAGGGATAGTGTTCCTTTTCTTATATTTCCTTATAAGCAGCATTTTTGATTTTTTTTTTTAGTTAAATGCACGTCTTTCACCTGTTGCACCATCTCTCGATTTCTGGAATTTTCTACTGAATTTTTGCTAAAGCATGGTTTGGTCTTCTTGATTTGACAACAAGTGTATAGGCCATTTTTATTTATGTGAAGAACCGCAGTTATAATTTTTGTTTGAGTTAATCTGGGCAATTAATGCAGATATACTGAAATACTGGTACTATTTTTCACTTTTAATGGTAAACTTCTTTTTAAAGCTTTACTGTAATCTGAGTTTGCAGTATGTATTTTTCCTCCACAGCTGAGCTTCAGTCCTGTTGAGTACTTCCAGAATAATATTGAAGTTGGGCAGTTCTCTCTGAAAGTCAATATGCGAAAACTGGACAAGCCCACCAATAGAAGTGAATGGAAAATGACTCCACCCACTGTGAATGCTTACTACACGCCCACCAAAAATCAGATTGGTACGACTTTCTTTTGTTATTGAAGATACTTAATTTCTAATTAAAATTTAATCAACGTAATCAAAGAAATACTTTGAAAACTAAAAAACATGTTTATTGTTTACTACACTTCTCTAAAAGAGTATAAATAAAAGTGCATTTTATTCGTTATGCATTTATACGTGCATTTTATTCGTTTTCAGTATTAATAATTTTCCTTGATACGTGTTTAAACATTTTAAATTCTTTACGATTCAGAAGAAAAAGATTTCTCCCCCTCCCGAGAGAAGAGCGGCTATATTGCTAGTTTATAAGATATATAATTAATAATTTGAATTTGAATTTGCAGTGCTATAGCAATTAATAAAATTTGTTGCGAAACGATCGAAATCGAAGCAAAATGAGAATAAAAAAATGAGGTGCATGGCATGAAGGATTTTTCACCTTCTTCTTATTAAAACTTAAATGATCATATACATATACAGGGTGTTTCAGGAATTTGGTTACAAACTTTCAGTATAAACATAGTACACTTGGGCTATGGAGATATCACATAGCAATGCATGTTCGGAAACGCTTTCCTGGCGCGGTAATGACAACTCAGAATACAAGAAAAGATGGACACGAACAGAGTGAGAAAACATGTTTATTATGATCAGGGCAGCAAAAACCAAGGAATGAAAACTAAAACCGGCAACAATTATCATCAAAGAAAGAATTAAATTTACGGCATCGAAATTACGACCCCGAACCCTGATGCAGACCTCATATCTCCGGCGCATGAAAAATCTGATGTTTTGGAAAATATCTAACATGTCCCGGGACGCATATTTCACAAGTGCACATCAGCGTAGCCACTGAGGGAGGGGTTTCGAAAATGAACCAATGAGCTGCTATTGCTCTTGTGACGCGAAATCTTCGTGCATGTGAGCGTATGTTGTTTACGTTTTAATTTGCATTTGTTTCGCAGTTATAAATTATATGGCGTAATAGTAGAAAATCTTGCAGCGCTTTCGTTTTCTGAGTTTAATTAATCGCTGACATTTCACTTTCGCGATTTTTTATCACGCATTAATATTTAGATTGATATTCACGGCATATTATGTGGATTCAGAGAATTCAAGTGTATATATTTTTTTTTAATTGAGATGAGAATGACTGAAAGTGTTACAATGAATCTAGTGTTTTCTTATTTCAGTGCATTCTTTTGATTTTTAAAGTGTAAGATTCAGAACACATATGATCTGATTATATCCATTGTTAAAATTAAAAGTTATATGTCAATAAATTGAACATACTCGTTGTGAATAAGATAAATTCACTCTGCTTCATGAGTATTTCTTGTGTAGACAGTTCCCTTAAAAGTGAGCAGTTATTAAATGTGAAATTTAACACACTAAATGTATACGAATGCAAATTAGTAAATTTCACTTTGACTAAAATTCTGCATTGGTTATTATCATAGAACATCTTTTTCATATAGACTGCAATAAAAAGTGCTGACTTCTATTTACATATATAAGTGGTGAAAATATTTTTCTCATACGCATAGTTTTATGTAAGATTGCATTTGGGCTCAGATGTTTATCACATATTTCTTTCTTCATCTTATTTACCACGTATTGAGTAATATTTCACATCTATATTTTTGCGAAATATCCAACATGTGTTTGCATTTATTTCAACCAGATAGTGAAATCTTCATAATTGCCTATATTTGATCTAACTTCGCAATGAAAAGTTCAGAGCAATCGACTATTCTTTAATTATTTTTTACAGAAAATTGCGTGGCAGAATATTTTCAATCATCTTGCTTAAATCTCAAAGCACGCGAAAGGTCATGTGACATGACAGAAATATTACTGGATGCTCATTGGTCCATCCTAGAAGCCACTCCCTCGGTGGCTACACAGATGTGCACTTGTGAAATATGCTCCCGGGACTTCTCTAGCAGCTGCCATGATGTGTACAACAAGTTCCCGAGGACTGTCAACGGGAGAGGGGTTCGTACACTAGTGTTGACGTACCGCCAGAGAAAGTAATCAATGCAAGGGAGGCGATCTTGCTAGACGAAGCACGGGACCATCCCAACTGATCCGATGTTAAGGATACGTTTCATTCAGCTGGAGACGCACATCAATGTTGTTAATATATGCAAAAATTTAACATTTGCAACCTTTTAGCTGCATTGAGCATAATAAACATGTTTCCTCACCCTATTCGTGTCCATCCTTTGTATCGTCACTAACGCGCCAGGAAAGCGTTTCCGACCATGGATTTGCATTTTTGATTTTTCATCTGTAGGTGTACTCTATCTTTCCTGAGAGTTTGTAACCGAATTGTTGAAACACCCTTTATACACATAAGGTAGGCTAAAAGCCTAAATTCAATTACAAAGTTTGAAAAGCAGGAACTCAGTAAATAGTTTCATCGAACATTTTTTACATTCAGTTGTACTACATAAAGTAGTTCAAATTCTAAAACAGAGTTCATACGTTATCGTTGAAAAGATTAGCCGCTGTAACGTAAAGTTCATTATATTTTTTCAGCTGATGTTTAATGGTTGCGAATAATAGGAACTGAGTACCTCTTCCTTTATCTGCAGTGAAGGCTATTGGATTGTACCTGAATCTAAGAGATTTTGAATATTTCCGGATATAAATTTGGACCAACATGTAGTCAGTCATTTAAAGATTAGAGGCTGAGGCATGCGGTGACGCTTTATAAACAATATGTGAAGGGAGTCGTACAGAGCAACACTGTTTCTGAAAAAAGGAAAATTCTTAAAGCTAAACATTAAACGTTGGGCGCCCTTGTGAGCGGTCGTTTTATATAGGTCATAAGTCTGTATCGTATACCAATATTATAAAGGTTTAAGGACAATGGCATTATTACTTTAAGAAAAATTACATAGCAACGTCTGTACAACCTTCAAGTGGGAGCTTGCTTTTACTGAAATACTCTTGCACTCACCAAGGGCAGCCTTGTTGTCACAGTTAGTCCAACAGTTTATGTTAAAGGCTTGGTTACAAATCTATGATTTGCTCTTAGTTTAATCCTCCCATATAATTTTGCTATGTGGTAAATAAAATATAATATCCTCTTCATTTCAAACATCTAGAAGTGATTTGATAATATTTTGCTTTAATTCATCTTCTAATACGTTTCTGTATTCGAAAAATATATTAGGATATTTTAAAAATCGTTTTTTAAGTCGGTTGAATTTTTGTTTTCCATAATATCATTTAAATTTGATGCTTCACGTTCCCAAGACTATCTAACGTTGTAGCGAGAATTTTCATATATTATTACCTGATTCGAAATATTCAATCAATTAATTTTCAGTTGAATAGAAGTTTTTCTTCTTATTAACAAATCCTGAATTTTCCAAGTTCTAAAATATTTTTATTTGTTCCGAAATGAAATGTCTTCCCTTCCGCAGCTATGTTGAAAGTTAAAGAGATATTATCGTCAGGTTTTTATACTTGTAGGCACCTATCAAAAATAGTTTCCACTGCAACAAGGTTTTTTTTTTTTTTTTTTTTTTTTTTTGTGGTCCCATTATTATATTATAGAATAATCTACTATATAATATCCCATTACTATGTTGTAGTAATCCTATTAAAATGGAAATAGATCCTTTGCTATCGAGAGAATCTGAAAGTATCAAAATTTTTTAACTGTCTCTTTTGCCTAATTTCTTCTGATTTCGGAGCAATGATTGTACCTGTTATTTGATCAGTTACTAACAATTCAACTTCTATTCTAAAAGAGAGAAGTCGCTAAATTTCGGATACAGAAGCTTTCGTTGCTTCTTATCCAAGAGAAATTTAAACACTTTTTCCTTTTTTGATTTAACTTTTATCGTGCAAGTCTGTGTAACAGTATTATGTTATTTGCACTATGTGAATCGACCGAAACAGTTTCTTCGTTCTGTTGCTTAATTTGTGTACCATTTTTCGAAACTAATGAAACTTTTTATCAATTGCTGCATTTTTAACTGTGGAATTGGTCTTACAACATACGGCTTTCGAATGTTAACCTTTGTCAAATTTTGCAAACTTTGGTTTGCTGTTGTCGGTATTCCGAAATTCTGTGGCACAAAGAACGGGCCTTCATCCTAATACTCTTCATTTCCGCGCTTCGGTTTGTGTGGAAAACATAAACAATTGATCTTTTCTCGCAGTTCTATTTCTAATCGAAAAAAAAAGTCTAGAATTTTTTTTAAATCATAGGTTGAAGAATTTCCATTATTTGTACGATGAAACTCTAAAGTTATAACGTTGGGGAAAATGTTCATCAAAATCGCAGTAAACATGTTGGAATGTGTTTCTGGTTTCATATCAAATACTGAACTGGCTTCTGATTGGAACGTTAGTTGTAGTTTCCGCAATTCGTCACTTTATTTGAACTGGATTTAAATTTAAGAGGTTACAGATGCGTGTACCGATAATAAAGTCATTTTGACTGAACCAATTTTTAAGAATGCCTATGGCCGAAGGAATTAATCCAATCGTTATAGTCTCTGTAAAATTTGTGAATTAAACGTTTGAGGAATTTCACATTTCACAGTCTTTTGTTTTAGACTTTCACAGATGAATTATTTAAAATCGTGTTGACGTGAGTCAACTTCAATCAGATTTTGTATTTTTTCATCTAAATTATGTGGTTTTGTTTCTTGATGATTTATTATTTCCGAACAATTTTCTAACGCCTTTTGTTTTTCTTCTTCTAAATATTCATCTACGCTTTAAATAATTTGGGTTACAGAAGCCCATACCTGTTCTTTTTGTGTTTAACATATTCCGTTCCATTTTTGATAAATTATCAAAAGAGACTTAATGTTTTGATGTGTTCGCACAAAGTACTGATCGAAAAGTCGAAAAAACAAATTTTCAAATATTAATTAGATTCTTGTCGGCCAATGTTGAAAAATCGATCGAAATCGAAACACAACTGAATCAAAGAATAAGGTGCGTGGCATGGAGAATTTTTCATCTTCTTTTAATGAAAAACTAGGCTAAAAGGCTAAATCCAATTACAGAATTTGGAAAGCGCGAACTCAGTAGTTCTATCGAATATTTCTAACATTCAATCATACTGCCTACTACAGTTCGAATTCTGAAACAAAGAAGACTGAATTACTCATCAAATATTACATAGTCACGTGTCTAGACAAAGAGGGCTAAGTAAACCAACTGGGTGGTTTTCTAGCGCCATATATATAGAAACTCAGCATAAAATCTTTTATTTCTCCATAAAGCATTGCGTATTGAATGTAATTTTCGTATAAATATAATAATCTCAAATTTCTGTTTTCCTTAGTTTTTCCCGCTGGTATTCTCCAAGCTCCCTTCTACGACCCTCATTACCCCAAGTAAGTATTCTAGTTATATTTTCTGCGTGGAATAGAATATTGGACCTCAGTTCCAATATTTAATGGTATTAAAAATTAGAGTCAGTATCTGCAGGGCTTAATTTTAAAAATCAATCCTTGAAAGCCACATAGAGATTCCTGTCAGGAAAGGTTAAAAACTGAAATAAAATATAAATAATGAAAAAATGATAAACAAATAATAAATTAATAAACTAAGTAGTCGCAAATCACACTAAGTAATCACAAAGTTAAACAATAAACAAAAATAACGAAGTTCATCTTGTTTGGGGCTCTGACTGGAATTATAATTTTGCTCTCAAGTCGGAGAAGTACCTCCAGGTGAATTTAAGCCCAGAATATCTTTAATTGTATTTAGTATTTTATAGCGTAATGTACTGCATTTATTTATTTATTTAACGCATTTCATGTAATAACTTCGACGTATATTTTTGTTTAATCGAATTTTTGACCATCTATTCGGTTTGTAAGTATTTGTTTTATGTAGTTTGTTGTATACTTTGTAATACTAAACAGATTGACATTTGAATTATAAAGACAGCTTAATTAGAACCTATGATATACGCAGAAAGCCTTCTATGTGAACCTTAATGATAATTTTATCACCGAATCGACGATACTTAGTTATTTCTTGGCAACATTTTCGGATTCTCTGGAAAATCATTTATGAACCTCATTTTAAAACAGCGATTTTTCTCGTAACTTCTTGAAATTCTTAGGCAACCCTAAATAAATCATTTGCGCTGGAGCAGATTGTCAGGTAATTCAACTATCCATTTTCCGAATCATGCAACTGTACTGAGCTCCTGTTTGGTGATTATTGCTGTAGGCATTCCTGTATGAATGATATCAGTGATCTGCGATATTCTTGGCATGTAAATGAAAATTCTTTTTATCTTTGTTGCTGTACGAGCTGTGGTATTTTTCAGTAAAGCGTCAGTTGCTTCCTTTACCTGTGGCAGAGTTGTTAAGATTTCGAGAAATAGATAACGCCAAACAACATTTTTTATATTGTTGTAAATTTTTGTAAATATTTAAATTGATTTGATTGCATTATTCGTTTTGTGTATTGTTGTAAGACTGTGTATTGTTTTATTTAGCCATTTGCTTATTTGTTACTTTTAGGACGTTTTTGGGCTTATTTTGTTTTCAACTGAATTTTTGTTCACATCTTTCGTATATTTTTTATTTAAAATTGTAGTAGGTCTTTCAACTCTGAGTCCAACAACGTTTAAGTTGCTGAATTAGAACGGGATACATAATTACAAACGCTGCTTCTGATTGGCATTGACATATGGTGAAATCTAGCTAACTTGGCGACTTTCTGTAAGATTCCGGAAAACTCATTTTCGGAACTCTACGACTGATTTTCCTGACGCTTCCAGAAGGCCATGCAACAACGCATAAATACGGCTCCAAGAGCTAGGACGTGTCAATTGTTAATCAGCTCTGAGACTTGTGGTTGAAAGAGAGTTAGTTTTATTGCGTTTCAGAGTTTACTGTGTGAGTGATTTGGGAAATTTACGATATTTTTCGTGCGCTGAGGAAGAATTACTTTATATCTCCATTATCTTCAAGCTGTTGATTGTGCTGTGTGCGATTATTATATGTAATAAATTGTTAGTTGTTCCTTTTATCCGGAATGATTATTTGAAGGAACAGTCATGAACCCGTATCTTGCAACAATGTACTATCTCTTTTTTTTTTCTGATTTATCGGTTTAGTTTCTAAAACGGAAATGTGGAAACCAACGGAGTTTTTTTTTTTTCCTTTCTTTCGAAGAAAGTCTGGCTATGTGGCCCTGTCGGAATGCGTCGAGTAATAAATAAGATTTCCTAGAGCTAAAATTTTTAATCTACATTTAGATGCATTGAAAATTTTCATAGATGCCATGTAAAACTTAAAATACTAATTCTGGTTATTAATTATTTAATGCTCTTGCAGGTCCTTAAATTTTGGTGCGATGGGTGTTGTTATGGGACACGAATTAACGCACGCCTTCGACGACCAGGGTAAGTTCCGAAATAGAAATTTTCAAACTTTTCACCTTTGTACGACTTTTGCAATAATATTGATGTATGGGTTAAAACTTATCTAAAGCTATCATAGTTAGCAGTATTATAGTTATCTCTTTTTAGTTAAATTCTTTTATAGTTGTCTGAAAAATTCGAGGCGGAATATTTCGAAAACTGTTGGACCCTCACGTTATGCTGTGATTCATTTTTCATCCACATGCCTTTGCAAGAGTTCCTACCACACAAGATCTTGCACTGCCGCTACCGGTGACTGTTAATCCATAAATAATCGGTGACTCATAGTTTAACGGTTAACCAACGGCCTTGGTGGTCATTTTTTTTTCCTGTGATTATTTTTATGTATAATAATCTGTCTAAATAGGCCCGGTGGCGCAGTGGCTAGCGCATCGCGCAGCAGCACCACAGGTCCAGAGCTCTATTTCCGGGCTGGGCAAGGTCGACTCAGCCTTTCATCCCTTAATTTCCATCACTTGGGCCGACAAAATGAGTACCAAGTTCGCTTGGGGACTAAACACTCGGGGGGCCTGCGACAAGTTGACCACTTGTTCAGGGCATATACTTACGCACCCCTGGGCTCACGGTAAAGAAAGCAGATTTCGGGCACTACAGGCCTTGCCCATTAGGGCTGTTACGCCCCTGAGTTTAGTTTTTAATGTCTAAATTTACTGTGGCACACAGGAATGGCGGCGGTCCATTACGTTATCTGTCACCAACATCAACCCGATATTTCTCAGCCCCAGATCACAGTTGATCAATGATCATAGCAGTTATTATCCTTGTTCGGTTTAATCAGCTTATACTAATCTTTTCTAATGTATTCAACTACCCCCCACCCCACCCTTGCCTATAGACCGGAGACCAGTATTCTTGACGGTCGGCAGTGTCCTGCGATTTAGTTTTAATTTAATAATCTAAATTTACTGTGGCACTTCACGCTGTAACCGCCTATTGATCACTAACAGCCATGGTCACCAACAGCAGTCCATAAGCTGAATTAAATTCAAAGGTTATTGTTGACAGGTATCTTGACAGTCATCACGATTATTAGTTTAATCATCTTCTAATCAATATAAATTTGCAGCTTCGTTCCCGTTCAGTGACTTATGGTTTGACTTTCGGAAACAAATTAACTCTGTAATTAGTGATCTTGATGGTCACTGGTGTCCGATGATTTATTTTTGTTTATTTTCTTTCAAAATTTACTGCTTTACCCTATGAAGGTGGCCATCGACTGTAAGTCATTAGTCACTAATACCTATCTAGTGATTTTTAACCCACAGATCACTGTTTAGCACTGGATGTGACATAAATCATCGTCATTCACTTTATATATATATACACTGGTGTGCAAAAATTAAGGACGAGACGATTTTTTCAATATAACTTTGTACAAAAGCTTTCCAAATCAACACATTTAATACCGTAAGATCCCCAATACGTAAGGACATGAGTAATGTAAGCAACACTTACTAAAAGAGAAATCAGAGGGATAAAAAGAAGCTTTATTGAAAAAGTAGCATGGAGCGCAATGCGACTGAAGGCCGAAACATCCCTGTGATGGGTGTCCAGCAAGAAACATCCGGTCTTTATAGGGGATATGATCTCCCCTGACTACCAGGCAGGTTTCACAGCGTCTGCCCATACTGAGAATGAGGGTGTCAATGAGTTGTTGAGGCATTGCTGCCCATTCGTCTTGCAGCGCCAATCGAAGCTCCGGAATCGTTACTGGTGGTAAGGTACGAGCTGCCAAGCGTCTGCCTAGAAAATCCCATACATGCTCGATGGGATTGAGATCTGGAGATCGTGCCGGCCAATCCATACGTTCAATATCCTTACTCTCTAAGAGCTGTTCGGCAGCTACTGTGCGATGATATGGTGCATTGTCGTCCATGAAAAGGAACTGCGGACCCATAGCGCCTCTAAAAAGACGCACATATGGAAGAAGAATCTCGTTACAATAACGGGTCTCGTTGACTGAACCTGCGTCGAAGATGTGAAGGTCTGTACAACTACCAAGCATGATGCCTCCCCAAACGAGAACACCGCCACCTCCATACCTGTCCCTTTCAATGATGTTTGAGGGATGATTGCGGCTTCCCCTTCCTCTCCAGATGAGTATGCGATGAGAATCGCTACTCAGACTGAATCTGCTCTCATCTGTAAAGAGTACTCGTCCCCATTCATTGTCTCTCCAATTCCGATGTTCCCGGCACCACAGAGAACGCCTTCTCCGATGGGCAGGCGTTAGAGGTACACACCGTACAGGGCGTTGTGCAAACAGACCACCACCGTGCAGTCTTCTGGCCACGGTAAAACGCGATATCGGTCGTCCAGTCGCCTGTGTGTCGTGTGTCTAGCGATTTCTCCCGCTGTCTGCCGCCTGTTTCTTCTGGCCTGTAAGGCAATATACCGGTCATCTGCGGGTGTGATTCCTCGTGGACGACCACTACTAAACCCCCGGACAGCTGTTCCTGTAGTTTGAAATTGTCTCCGAAGTTGTGAAACGATGCTGTGAGCAATTCCGAACTCTGCAGCCACACTTGTCACACTGCGGCCTTCCTCCAACTTCCCAATGATTCGACCTCGGGTGAAAGCATCCAGATGTCGTCTAACAGATTGATTATTCGCCATTTCTCGCTGAGGCAGCAACTCGGGGTGATTTTAACTGCTATACGGCGTGCAATCTCCTTGCCAGAAATACTGATCTTACACCGACAACATACTTTATACTACTCAGACACTCCCCCATTACGTCTACATGCATATGTGCGCATGTACTACCGTACATCACCTTACTTAATCTCCTGATTGGTCTTTCTGTCCGCTCTGCCTCTTCGTTCAGCTGATATGCTAATTTTTCGACTTCCTCCTTAATTTTTGCACACCAGTGTATTTTACTTCCCCAGTGGTCAAGTGGTTAAGACCACTGAGTGCGTGTAGTTCTTCCAGGGTTCGAAACCAAGCAAACGGGGCTTGGTTAGTTTTCGTGGTTTTCCCCAAGTGTAACGTGACTAGATTAAGTTTTCCCCAACAAGTCCTCCATGAAGGCATCTTCCCCTTAGGCAAATAACCTTTGTGAGCTTTGCCATATTTCATTAACTAGCTAACTAACTAATTACATTCTAATAATCTGTTTAAGTGTAATTAGCCCATACCAGTGACATATGGTTTGACTACCGAAGACTCAATCCGACGATCAGTTGCCCTGATGTTCATTAGTGTCATTCTTGTAATTGCATGACGTGTCTAAATTTGCTGCGCCACTTCACGACGATAGTTTTGAACTGTACGTCATCGGCTATTAACGGACATGTAGCCATCAGTGATTTTCAATCCATAGGTTAAGGTGGACCATTGCCTTGACGGTTATTCGTGGCATACAATTTATTTTAGTAATTTATCTAAATTTACTGATACTATTTCGTGTTTATAAATGCTGTAGATACGTCTGCTTGCTTAATAATTCAGAATAATAAAAGTTTTTAAGAACATTCTTCGAGCTAGTTATAGAAATATTCACTAAAATAATGTTGAAAAAAAATTTTTTTTCCCTTTCTTTCTTTTTCTTTTTTCCCCGTGGCATACTGAGGGTATATCTGTAATTTTCCCTTAGTTCACTGACAAGTTATTTTAATTTTTGTATCTGTTTTGAATTCTCTATTTCCCCTCGCATTTATTCGTTAGGATGCAAATTAAGTAGGTGTATTTTAATTATGGCAAAGCCCACTAGAGCTATCTGCCTAAGGGGAGGGATGCCTTCGTGGAGGACTTTCTAAGGGAAACTGGCTCGTATACACGTCACACATGGGGAAAACCACGAAAACACCCATGCAGCCAGCCCGTTCGCGGGATTCGAACCGCGGACCGAACTACCAGTGTTCAGCGACTTTAAGTAGGTGAAAGAGAGGATTTAAACGAGTGAAACGAGAAGGTTAGACAGAGCGTGGTTTCGCTAGTGTAGCTCACGTTCCCTTTTTGTTCTCCTGCTGTTAATCTTAGCAGCGGCTACACATTCTGGCTGTTTAATTAATCTATCGCCTGTGTAGATTGCTGAGTCAGGGCGTTAAATGAAATTAAATTGTGAAGTCTAGCATTACTTCTTACCTTTCGGATTTATTGTTAAATTAACCCTTCAGTTCTCACCGCAAGTAGTCGGTGTTTTCGTGAGCACGGAGTCCGTGCCTCTGTTAAAGCGTTGTGATCAAGAAAAAGGGCTTTTTACACCCTTTGCCGCTTGCGTTACTCTTCACGCCTGTGCGAGAAGTCGCCAGGCTAAACTTTGAGATCTAGATACTTTGTATGACAGCCAAAAAGAACAAATCTTATAACTACATCCAAGTTCGATTGTATAATGCCTAATGTACTGGATAATCTTTCTGAAAGTACTGATGTCATGTAGTTTAATGCAACGTAAGCAGGTATCACTAGACTGCTTATAGAAAGCGTGCACTCAACGTAGTCGCGAAATTGATCCAGGTATCACTGAAGTTGTAGTAATCGCGTTCATTTTTGTCATTGACCTCATCTGCTGGACATCAATGAAATAAATCTTGCCAATGTTTGTACGATTAAATTGAATTTTATAAGCTATGTAGACGTTTAACCTGCTCAGTCTGCAGACCACTTTTTCTTTGCCTTTAACGTTTAAGCACTATAAGAACGTTAATTGAATTTGGAGGTAAAACGAAACTAAAGTTTATTTGAGCTACAAACTGGTAGATACAAACTAAAACAAAATAACTGAATTATCACTCCTTACGAGGTCTGGAAATGTCAAATTGAATACTATCAAGCCGGCTGCTAATTATACTCGACTTCTAAACATAAATAATAAGAAAACCGGAAGACACGCAGCAAAACGAGCACACTTAACCTGGGAGGTAGATCACGAAAGAGATCACTAGCTACGTCACTAGCTGAGTTGCTAAATTCTGTTTTCTACACATATTCTTTCGGTAAAGTTATTTAAAACTCACTTAATTTACATTTGTGACACCGCTTTCGGAAGAAATAGAAAAACAAATTTCAAACAAAGAAAAACTGTTATTAATTTATAAAATTCTCTAGTTACCTTGTTACTAACTTTTGTGTTATTATAGTATGGACCTTACAGTTTCCAAGGTTTTGCATTATGAATCAAATAACACCAGCAACAACAAAAACAAAAAAAGCGAATTTTTGAATATCGAATCTTTTAGTTTCGTTGAATGTCTGATCCATGATATTTTATTTTAAATGTATTTAGTTTGTAATATGTCCATTTGATAATTTTCATGAACACGAGGGTCTAATGCTATATAAAACAGAACCACTTCTTTCTTAATTTTCATGTCCTTTTATGTTTAATATTTTTTAATTCTTAATCTAAAAGCTCAAAGTTTATCAATTGCAATTAATCTACATACCAATTTCGTTTTTTGTTTTACAGGCAGAGAATATGATAAGTTTGGTAACCTCCACCAGTGGTGGAAAAATTCGACCATTGAAAACTTCCGAAAACGAACAGAATGCTTTGTGGACCAATATTCCTCGTACGAAGCCAACGGCGAAAATGTGAGTTTCACTTCTTTCCCGTCCCGGGAAGTAGATAGAGTAAACACTGACATTCACAATGAGTTTATAAACTTCAAATTTTCTGTATTTAGAACCAGTACATTCTTTGACTAATGTGTTTAGCGGAGACTTTACACATTTTTCAGACCGTTACGTTATGGCAACATGCCAGTCATCAGCTACGCTATCTAACAAGTGTTTCTGTTACACAAGCTATTATAAAGTCTTTAATTATTCTTCCATGCGGTCTGGCAAAATTTTGCATTCGACGCGACATAAGATCTTCAGTTTATCTTTCAAATTATAATTACTTAAATAAATTGAGCGATTTAAAAGCCATAAACGGAGTTAATACTACATACCCTTATCCTTTTTATGTTAGAAATGCATTTAGAAGAGCTTTCCCAAAACTTTTGCAGATCTACGTTGCGTTCTGCTATCATGCATTTAAAATTCATTTGATCTGTCGTGTGTTGGACTTGCACGAAACGTAAGATCTTTGACTTATCCTTTACGTGACCTTGCCAACGACCGCCCCTTTAAAAGTATTGCTATTTGGTAAAGCGTGTGGTCTTTAATCTACAGACTGGTGCAAATTATTATGGATTATTTGTGAGAAACTTGTTGCTAAAATATATGTTGACATAACTAAGAGGGATTTATTATGCATTAACTACATTTAATGACATTTCCAAAGAAAATATTTATTATATTTTAATCTATATTAATATAGTATTTCAGTATTTAGTATGACACCATTTGGCTTTTAATAATACTTGTATACTTTGGGATTTCCCATCTGAAAAGAATTTACTGCTGGAGATCTTTGTCATAATCTCATATTCTCTGGGCTTCTTGAATAACATTTATCCATCTTTGTTATTCCTTCATAAATTTTATTGTTGAAATTATTCCTTCTTTGGGTTCATATCAGGACTATTTCCAGTGTAAGCTAGCATTTGAACTTCTTTAGAAATAAAGTTCTAGATGTATAGCAAAGAGCGTCTTTTTGAAATCTTGCACCACTTTGAGGAAACCATACATTAAACTGTGGAAAGAGATATTTTACTAAAATCTCCTTACATTTTTGTGAGTTTACACTCCTTTTAATTTTTTCGATCTGCGTAATGCCATAAACAGATATGCGGGTCGAAATCATTAAAGATGAAGGCTGCTTCCCCTTCATTAAAATGTAGCCTTCTTTTGTTTTTCTTTGCTTCCTACGACCATGTTGAATCCTGTTATTAAATATTTGGTTTAATGTCTCATCGAAAAAACGCGTATTGTTAAAATATATATCAATAATAATGAAAGAAGTATTTTTCAATTAGGAAGAGGCTTTAACAAATGAGTCAACATAAAGAATTAAATTTGAATAAATATCTTGCTTCATTCCTAAAAAATCTACGTGGCATGATTTTGGGACAAGAAAATCGTTTCTCGATCATAGAAAGTGTAAACTTACGCTTTCTATGTGACCTAAAATTTTTCAATTCAGCTTTGAGAAAGCTTTTTTTTAATAATAGTGGTGCTGGTTGACATACCATAATTTTACCACTTTGACATACCATCTTATTCGCGTGGATGATAATTTTAGTTTATATTATAGTTATTAATTATAGTTATTATTTAGGCTGCCATACAGCTACATTACATAGCTGTTTACAGCTTCTCAAAGATTACTGAGAAGCTGTACTTTGCTGTACTGTCCAACTGTAATTAACTATCAAAATTTTGTTTATTTCTGCTTTTCGTATATGCAATTCATGTTCCCTGACGAGAAATTTCATCGCTCTTCTAATCTGGCAGATTGGAAGAGCGCAGTCAAGACGCATTGATATGATATGTTAAAATTCCTCAAGAATTAAAATCGGAGAGGCGATCTTTATGAATCAAACAACGAATTTTACTGATAGATAAGAAAATGAGCTGAAAATTGAACTGAAGAATCTGAGCAACCTTGTAATTGATAGAAAGATTAAATAGCTGTCAAATAAATATGGATATAATTTACTAAAACACTGTGGCATGTTTTCGTTTGTACGCGTTGTCAGTTAAACATGTTGTCTGCTAGACATGTTGTCGGCTAAATATCTTGTTGGCTAAATGTTCTGTGGGCTTAATGTATTGTCTGCTAAATGTCTTGTCGGCTAAATGTCTGTGTCAGTTAAATGAATGCATCAGCTAAGTGTTTTGTCGGTTAAGTGTCAGAGATTCATTTGAATTGTTAAATAAATTCAGGAAAATAACTCTGCAAAAATAAATAACCTAAAGATTAAAAATATTTATACAAAACTTAAAATGGACAAGAGCAAATTGAAATTAATGAATAAGATAAATCTGAATATTAAATTTATTTTACCAGTAAAATAACGAAATATTGTCATTTCAGTTTGTTAAATATAGGAAGTTTAATTTATTTAAAAACTGCTCTCTGAAACTAAATGCAGATGACAATTTTCACACTTTATATAGACAGTTATAGGACTGAGAAGAGAATTTTTTAATGTTACAGGATTGACAGTTATAAAAGATGAGACCGAAAAGTAAGGTTATTGATGTCATAATAATAACTGTATTATATATTTACATATAAATACACCACTGGCCTTAGAAGTAGTTCCCGCCGTCTACAATACACTTCTGACAACGTTCGTACATGTTCTGGAAACTTTTAAAAAAGTCTTCCTTTGAGACTGTGTTAAGTTCCTTTGTAACAGCAGCTTGAATGTCTGAGATTCTTGAAAATCGGTGTCCCTTTAGCGCAAATTTCAATCGTAGAAAGAGAAAAAAGTCTGCTGGAGCAAAATCAGGGGAATAAGGAGGGTGAAATAGCTCCGTAACCTTTTGCTGCGCGAGGAACCGTCTAACACAGATTGCAGTATGAAAAAATAAACATCTCAGGCATTGAAGCTGCTGTTACCAAGGAACTTAACACAGTCTCAAAGGAGAACGTTTTCAAAAGTTTCCAGAACTTGTATGAACGTTGTCAGAAGTGTATTGTAGACGGCGGGAACTACTTTGATGGACAGTGATGTATTTATATGTAAATATATAATACAGTTATTATTATAACATCAGTCACCTTACTTTTCGTTCTCATCTTGTAGATGAATTTCTTTTACCTGCATTTCAGCAAAATTGATGGAATGAATGGTAATCAAGAGATCAAGTTGGTTCTTAGAAACCGAGCACATCCTTTCTCAAGAACAAGCTAGGTTCTGTAGAAATTGGTCAACTATCCATCAAGTTGCTTGATTAAGTCAAACTATTAATGATTCTTTGCATAAAAGAAACGCGATGATGGAGGTGTACGTGGATTTCAAATCCACATTTGACTCCGTTTAAAGGGAGAGGATGGTTTCTAAGCTTAAAACTCTCGGTGTATGTTCTAAGGTGCTGAGTTGGTTCCGTGAACTCTTGGGTCCAAGGGGCTGTTGAATACGTTATGGAAACGCTACCTCAAAATGTTTTATACTCTAAATTGGATTACCGCAGGGTGAAGTTAATAGCTGATCCCTTTTTAAACGTATATATTAATGATGTGATTCCGTTGAAGAAGATAGTTGAATGCCTGTTGTAAGCGAACGACCTAGTTTTATGGACCCACGTAGCAAGAGAGAATGCTAAATTCGAAATTGAGAAGAAACTAAATGAAGCACGTTTGAAGAAATAGTGTGAGGAAAATAATATATTGGTAAATTTAACAAGAACAGCAGTACAGACCTTCTCCCTTATGCACCGAAATATTACCCCCGACATAAGTGTACCTACGTAGGAGTGGTTTTCGATAATAAACTGAGCTGGGTGTTCCAAATAGAATCTTTAGGTGAAAGAATTGAAAAAGATTCAGAATTTGAAAACGTCTCTGGGGTTATTCCCGGTCAACACTAAACCAGGCTTACAAAGATTTATTTTACCGGTCTTTTGCTACTGCTGTGACGTTTTGATCATAACTCCAAGAAATGTAATTGAAAAATTGGAAATCTTATAAAACCACAAATTTAAGCTAAAAACTACCCATGGTCCTTTTTACAAACAACAGACATATTAAAGTTATAATCGGAGAGAAAGCCGTGCCGCTTTAGAGAAATTAATAAGAATTGGGATCCCTTTTCGGAATTATTACAGAAATGACCACAAGAAACTTATAACCCGAGACCGATTCCTCCAGAAAGGATGAAATTTAGATCAGACCTTGAATTGGAAAATGAGAATTTTCAGACTTTTCTGAAACCCTGTAAACCTTTGGACTTGATTTCGGAAAATATCAACTTAGATCTTTTTCAACATAGTTTGCAAAATCAAATATCTCTAAATATTAAAAAATTTTGGCCCTTGAAACTACACATACACTATATCTTAAACTATGGTTTCATATCTATACGGACGGTTCATTCACTGAGGGTTTACCAAATGCTGGCGCTGGAATTTCTTCTGCCCTGTTTTCGTTCTGCATATCTATGGATTTGTGGGAAACTGCTTTCGATGGCGAGGTAATGGCTATTTATGGAACCCCAAGACAGATTAATGCTTCAAATTTCAGCTGTGACAAAATCGTCATTCTCTCAGGCTCCCGGGGGGGGCACTACAAGCTATTGGATCAGGGGCCTGTCCAATCTCAGATGAAATCCTTGAATGCCAAATTTATTTGGATAGACTGATTGTAGGTTGGTAAGAGATTGTAGTACTATAATGAATTCCTTGTCTCTTTGGCCTTTATGGTAAGGATCAGGCCTACAAACTTGCGAAAAAAGGTGCAGAAATTGTTCAAAAGATATCTACAAATTGTTCTTACCATTCTGCATAGCTATCATATACATTTGTAAATTTTTGAAACAAAAATGGAGATGTGAACTTACGACGCATGTCTCAACACCAAGAGCTGGAGGGACATCTTTGAAAGGAAGTTACTAGATAAACCATCGGGAATGAATAGCTGACCAAGTTTTAGGCTTGAAACTGGTCACGACTGCTTGGCGCTCCTCTATCTTGTTGGTATTCTTACTAGCCCAAAAGGGCCACTTTGCGGCTTAAATCAAGAAATGGACAGAACTCACATCGGAAGGCACCCGTCGCTGCTTGGAGTCTCTGAGATGGACAAGTACTGGAGAGCTAGAGGCCAAATGATGAGATATTGACTTTTTACGTTATATATTCACACAGCTCTGTTCTGTTTGTATAATGTTTGTCTCATTCTCTGCCGTTGGAAATAATAATAATAATAATAATAATAACAATAAAAGGAAAAAAAACTTACGCAGCTGAGAAAACTTTGGTACGCAGTGCAGGTAATGATAAAGAAAAAATTCATAATATTGTATACAAGGCTATGTCTTTCAAGATTATTCATTCCGAAAACGAAATCTAAGTGGGTTACAAATGAAGCAAATGCAGAATGCAATTTTTACTAATTTTATATTTATTTCTCTCTAATTGATATTATTCATTCACATTATAAATTTTTAGATGGCATTTAATTTATGGAATGTTCACCTGATAATTTTTATGAACAGTTCCATCGGTATTCTAAAAGATGTATTGAACTGCGTTATAGTAAATACCTTTTTTTTCTGCTGCAGCTGAACGGGAAGCAGACTTTGGGAGAGAACATCGCTGATAATGGTGGTCTGAAGGCAGCCTTTCACGTAAGTTGAATACTCCTATTTTTCTGCTCTAGCAACTTTATTGATGAATAATAAAGAGTTTGTCTCTCGAGAGAGCTCCAAGAGGTGAATCATGAGCATCGATATTTAATTATAATTAGGATAGTAATTTTATCGGGGACGGTTGCGTAATGGCGAGAATAACTCAACGCCGTAGCCCAAGAGAATCAAATTAGCAACGTGGCCTTCAAACAGACAGAACACGCTCTGGTTCTACCGTGGATCGTGGACCTAAACAGGCTAGGAGGTCTACGACCCGAAGTCCTTTACCAAGCTATATTAGCATAAGAAAAGAGAAGCGAATTCATTTTTGGTCAGCCCAAAAATGGCGCATGGCAGTTTGGGAAAAGTGAGCTGGGCCAAGGCCTAAATTCACGAAGTGAAAAACTGCAGGACTTGATTAAACCGGAGTGTTGACATGATCTTTAAAATTAAGCGAAACTGGAGAATGTCCAAATAGGTCGATAAAAGACTGAATATTTGGTTATAGTCTCAGAGGGAATATTTGGTCTTATAGATTCTTACTATCACCGGTTGTTCTTGCAATAAATAAGACTGTATAACGTCAATCACATAATTAAGTAAGCTTATTCTTGGTGTTGTTTTCTTTTCTCATTCAGAATGTACTGTACCATTTGCGTTTAACAATTTAGTTACACGTGCTGTTACTTAAACTTTTCATGTTTTGACAAAAATCATAGTATGTTTTAATAATAATAAGTATTATTTAAAAACGTAACAAAATTATTTTTACTCAGTATTCATCGTCAGAGCTTGGCGAATGTCGACATTGATATTTAGCAAATACTTTGGACATACACCGAGCGACTATACGAATGCTCACATTCACCGGAGAATGTCGACATTCTCCAGATTTCGGTCTTCCACAGTAACATATATATATTTTTGGTTTTTGTGATATATATATATCACAAAATTTTTTTTATTAAAAAAATAATTATTTAAAGTATTTTTACGCAGTATGCAGCTGAAAATTGATCAGTATAAATAAAAAGTAAGAAATTTAGAAAACCATTCGACACAAAGATCCGAAAAGAGTGTAATTCAAAAAATAAATTTCAAAAAATCCAATAAATACAATGTATACAAAATAAGAATTAAAGAAATATGAATTTGAAACCTAAATAAATACTTCAAAAACATATACATATACCAGAAAAAAAAAGAAAGGAAAGGAATTCATTTAGATCTGATGGAACATTATCAAGAGTAAAAGAATACATCAGACACAATTACAGTCCTCTTCCCACTTTAAAACCCTTGAGTTTCTGTATTCAAAATAAGCTGATAACCTATTTTAAAGTTTTTTTTAAGATAACAGTTCATCCGAAAATTTTGAAGTCCTTTTCGACCACGAAGGAAAATAGACACTTTCACTGAATTTAAAATTGAAATGAATAAATAAAAAACCCGAGAACATGAATTTAAAACTTACTCAGAGGACGAAGTATTAATCTGATAGTTAAAAATAGCAATTACATCCATTTGAAGAAATTTTCAAATTAGAATACAGTAAAGAGTTAAAATTTTTTACACAATGCAAGATTAAAATTAAATTGTAGAAATAGAATCTACTAGAAAAGAAGCGAGAACACGAAAATACAAAATTTGAAACAATCGACAGAACCGTTAGACTCAACAATGATGCTTAGGTTTGCCAGTTTGGCTTCATTGACGAAACAGTTGGCAAAGGCAAGCTAGAAATCCCCTAAAGGGTTAATTTAATGCTCGTAAGAAAATTTTTTAAAGTTTTTATATAGAAGGAAAGTCTGTAGGAAAGAAAGAAAAAAAAGAAAAAGATACAAATATTAGAAACGTAAAAAGTCTTCACTTCTTGGGCTTATCATAACGACTGATATAGTAGGCCCCCAAAGTTACTAACACTTAAGTCAAGAAAAAGATACAATAGAAAAAATATAAAAATAAACACTATAAAATCGTCTAAAACATCATCCTTCTTTATCCTTCTCTATTTGAGCTTTCAGATAAAAAAATTCATATTTTTAAAAATTTTAATAGATTAAAATAAAATACTACTCCACATTTTTTTAAAAACTCTATTAATAAAGTTAACATAATCTCATTTTCTTTTAAAATTTTGGTTAGAATTATAGTTTCTTTTTGTTGTTGCTCTACTTCAGTGCAAACTTTTTTAATTCTGTTAATTGGATTAATAACCATATTTCAATAGCTTTTTTAGAGATGTTGGAGTACCGCTTTATAAGTTTTATTGTAGAAAACTTAATTATCTTCTTTTATCAAAATGTCTTATTTCTTTAAGATTATGAGTGCTAAGATCAGTATAGTCAATTACTGATTAATTTTATTGGTTTTATTAAGCTTAAGGCAGTTGAGATATATGTTGCTATTTTCAATAATATTATTCTTGTTTAATGTGATAATGTCATCAATATATCTGAAAGTGTGTTCAAAATTATTGAAATCATTATCAGAGAGGTTTTTAAGAAATTTAAATTCTTCAGAAAACAAATATAGGTTATAACGATGAGTTGAATATGAATTGCCTATTGGAATCCCATTTGTCTGTAGGTAAAATTTTGAATGCTTTTTGTAGTTATTGTAAGTTAGTTATTGTAAAGCGAAAAATAGAGGAATTTCTGTTTTTTCAAATTCACAATAGTAAGCATTTCAGGAAAAAAATTTGAAACAGGAAGTAAAAGAAACAGGAAACAGGAAGTAAAACTGCTCATGGAAAAGGAACTAAATTTATAGAAATTAAATACATTCCTAAATTCTATTTTATCAAAAGTCTTTCCGCAGATGTTGATAATTTCATAATGAAAAGCAATTTCAGAGGTAAGTTTACCTTCTCATCTATTTAAGGAATGTAAGAATGAAATTATTAATCAAAGCAAAAAGGAAACTAATTACCTTAAAGGAATTAAAAAGTGGAAGAATTTACTTCAGTTTTTTTTTTTTTTTTTTTTTTTTTTTTTTTTTTTTTTTTTTTTACATTTGAAAAGGCAATTTATGATTACCAAAATTGATAAAGTGAGCAATAATTTCAGTATATTATGTAAAAAAGTTCTGCAATTCTCTAATTGGAAATGAACTGCAAAATTCAACTACCTATTGTACTTCCAAAAATAAAGAAAAGACAATTATCAACGGAAATTACTGCTTTTCACAAAAAATGAAACATTTGTCTTTTCACTACTAGCAATAGAATTGCCAGTCTCTATGCTTCTCCAAAATTTCATAAAAATGCTGTCAAATTTTGATTTATTACAAACAGTACTAGAACAGAAGAGTTTTGATAATGTTTTCACTAATATACTAAAATCAATATGTAATTCAATCGTTGATAGAGCGAAGGCTGATAAGAACTATTGTTGGATTATTACAACTTGCAAGTTATTGAAAAAAGTTAAAAATCTATACGTTTACAGTATTAACTGCTATGACTTCGAAAATCTGTCTCTCACTCTCAAAGAGATTTATGAAATTCTTCTAGAGCTGCCAAATGTTTTTCCTGAAATGCTTACTATTCTGGATTTGCAAAAATGGAAAAAAATTCCTCTATTTCTCACTTTACAATAAGTACATAAAGCATTCAACATTTCTTTGTTGTAAATCAATCGGGCATTTGAGAAGAAATAAATAAAATGTTTTTTCTAACTCACTTCTGGCAACCTTAAAAAATGCCAAGAAGCAGGGGCGTCAAACACGTTAACTATGTTAATCACGTGATATTAATATATCCCATGATCCTCTTGTTCTATAGTTATTATTAAGCTTCTGTACGTGCTTGTATTAACAGTAATGTAACTATCGCTTATATTATTTTAGTTGCAGTAGAATAAATGTGTTATTAGTGTTTAAATCTGCATCGTATTATTTATGGATAAATCCGTCATATCATCAACAATAGTTTCAGAGACTCAACTCCTGCTACTGAGTGCACAAAACGTAAGCTGATTTTGCTATCTTTATTCTTCATTCTTTACCTACAAAAAAATTTGATTCGAGTAGGAAGTTTAAATTCAACTCCTCTTTGTAACTTATATTTGTTTTCTAAATAATTAAATTTCTTAAAACTCACTCTGATAATGATTCAAAAATTCAAATTCAAAATTTCAGATTCAAGATTAAAAAAAATTCTGAGCACACTTTCAGATATATTGATGATATTATCACATTAAACAAGAATAGTATTAGCAACATATAGACCTACTGTCTTAAACTTCATAAAATCAATTAGTAATTAATTGACTATCTTGATCTGAGTATTCATAATCTTAAAGAAATAAAAGTCTTCTTTATATATAAAAGAAGATAATTTACTTTTCTACAATAAAACTTTCCAATTTTCTACAATAAAATTGGTACTCGAACATCTCTAAAAAATGCTATTGAAAATATGGTTATTAATTAAACTAACAGAATTAAAAATGTTTGCAGAGAAGTAGATCAACAACGAGAAGAATGTGTAATCCTCACCAAAATTTTAAAGAAAATGAAATTACAATTAACATCCTTAATAGACCTTTTATAAAAAAAATTTGGAGTGTCTAACACCCTATAATTTTTTTTTTTTTTTTTTTTTTTTTAAATATGAATTTTTTACCTTGTGAGCTCAAATAGAAAAGGATAAAGAAGGATGTTTTAGAATGTTTTATAGGGTTTATTTTTATATTTTTTCTATTGTATCTTTTTCTTGACTTAGCTGTTAGTAACTTTGGGGACCTACTATATTCCAGTCTCATAGACCCACTAGACTTCAAGAACGGACCCCTATTTTCAACCTCATCTTAGTGTACTTTAGTCAATATGCATTAACTCTGTGTTCCGCCGGAGAGCCTAACTAGCATTTAAGATACCTAAGCTAGCTTTTCAATTTTCCTCCCGCTAGTTTTTACGTTTCACCAAATTTTAAAATTTACCAATTTTTTAAATTTCAAATTGTGAATGTATTTGCACATAGTTTTACAAAAATAACA